CAATGTTCTGATGTTTTGTTTGTTAGATTTATTATTATAGTTGCCCACTAATAGGCGTAGATAAAGGTCGTTTCCTTCTCAGTGGCAAAATATTTAAGTCAAGTGGTGAATACTAAGTACTTCGTTCAACTGGCTATAGTTCAGTAAGGTCTTGTTGAACTGGAGGAGTCGAACTAACAACACCAGCTGCAATGGTTTTTCTTTAAGAGACAGTTTCATCTGAGTTCTAAACCTGTTATTTGAATCATCAACGTCCAACACTTTTAGGAATAGAATGCCAAGCCACTAGTTTTTTCCACTCTTCAAGATGCACTACGTCCATCTGATGGCCTCTCAGGTGCATGGAATGTCTGAACAGTGTGGGAGACCAGAAGAATGTCCCGAGTTGCTGCAGAAATGAAAGGACACAACCTGGTGGTGCTTAGAATCAGTGAAACTCATTGGAAATAGGTTGAACTACTAAAACTAGCTTCAGAAAAGCTGCTGTTATATTCCGTTTATGAAGAAGAAAATGGCTCACACACAAACAGCCGCACTGACTATAGAAAAGTCACTTCAATCAACCTTGATTTCAGGAACGGTAGAGGTCAGTTACGCGACTTGCCCAGTCCAATTTCAAAACACGTTTCCGGGTAAGAACGGTTCTATTATTGATCAAAGAAGGAATACAGATAATTACCTTAACAATATTATACTGTTACGATCCGAAATTAACACAATGAGTTTCCAATTCTGGAAGAATGCTTCCTTTTAGTCAAGTATACGAAGTTACCGCAAAGGTATCAAATCCGATATGGCTGTAGTCATATTAAGTATCAATTTAAACAACACACTTACAGTTTAGAAGGAAACATATGAACTTCAATAAAAGTACAGAAAATAGGAATCATAAAAAAATACAAATAATAATATACCAAATCGGGACTAACAGAGTACCAAAATATTGAACAGAAAGAGTGGGCAAGATCATAACGCAAATATATACATGGAGAGATTTTCCAAAAAACAAAGCCTTCAAAATGGATTCTACAGTTATCAAAATCTCCTTTAAAACAAAGAAAGAAAGGATTATGATGAATGTGTTCTAGTGCTATGCATCTATCAACGATAACATTGAGGAAGATATATATCAATTCTACGAAAGGCTGCAGCAAATCGTCCGAAAATGCCCAGCAAAGGATTTGACGATTCTGATGAAGGACTTAAATGCCAAGGTTGGCATGGACAACATTGGATATAAAGACATCATGAGACGACATGGACTGAGAGAAAGAAACGAAAACGGCAAGAGATTTGCAAACCTATATGCCTTCAACAAACTCGTCATAGGCGTCACAATATTCCCACACGAATCCGTACACAAAGCTAGATGGATTTCTCCGGATCACACTACTCTGAACCGAATCGACCGCATATGTATCAATAGAAAGTTCAGAAGGAGGATGGAGGATGTCAGAACCAAAAGAGGAGCTGATATAGCCTCAGATCACCACTTGCTGGTCGCCAAAATGAAACTGGATCTAAAAAAACAGAATTGCGGGTCAAACAACATCATAAAATTTTAATGTGGCCTTTTTCGGGATACCTTAAAACTCAAGGAATTCGAGATAGTCCTCAGAAATAGGTTCCAGGCCTTTCAGGATCTACTCAATGGAGAGAAAACAATCATAGAGAACAGTTGGAAAAGTATGAAGGAGGCAATCACTTCAAAATGTCAGGAGTTTCTGGGCAGCAGGGAGAACCATCATAAGAAATGGATCTCTGTTGGTACTCTTGAAAAAATTGAAGGAAGGAGGAACAAGAAGGCAGCAATCAACATCATCTGAACAAGAGCAGAGAAAGTTAAGGCACATGCTGGATACACGGTAACAAACAAGCAAGTGGAGGGGAGCATCAGTGTCAACAAATATAAACATGTGGAAGAGTTAGCGATGACGAAGGAAAAGACTGCAAGAGAGGGAAACGTGAGACAAGCAAATGATACATCAAAGATGTTTGCTGGAAACTATCGCAAATCAGAACGACCAGTGAAAAGCAGGGAACGCAAAGTAATCGGCAACATTGAAAAACAGAAAAACAGGTGGGTAGAGCACTTGGAGGAACTCTTGACTAAACCATTAGTCAAATAAAGTAATAATATTCTTATCAACTGATAGTGGGACATAGATGGAATAAAGCATGACTACGTTGCTGCGCGCTGATTGACTAATTTCCCATCCAATCAGCGCCTGATCGATTCTTGGAGAACGGGGTAGAAAATTCTCTTATTGTTAGCTGCATGCTGATTGGCTAAATCTAATCCAGTCGATCACGTGAATTTCTATCCAGAAGCTTCTCATGTAAATGCTATAAAGAAACTAACGTTGAACCTATTTTTGTATTCGGCTTCTTATTCCATTTAACCTTGCTACTTGGAATATTATCTTTTCCTGCTCCACCGTGTTTTTGATTCTTTGGAACTTGTCCAGTGTATTGTGGTCGAAGAATACTAAGCAATAGGAATTAGCTGGGAATTATCTAACTAAGCGTTACAATAGCAACAAAATGAACGTTATAAATTTTCTGGTCGATTGTGGGAAATTAGTTATAAGTAACTTTTCATACAATAGCTAAGACGTGTTTGTCAGCCTTAATTACTACTTTTCTTAAATGCTTTGCTGTATTATTATATTTTAGCTAATCGATGTACTTTAATTTGTTAGAAAAAGATTGGTAGTGAACTGTTATAACTCGTATACTACAATTTCTTTGTTTTATTTCAACTTGTATAGGAGATTTAGTTGGATGGGTAAAGTACTTGGTTCGATTCATTTCAGAGTAGCAGGTGTCCATTCCTGAGGACTCCTACACCGAATTGACTCCCAGTAATAATAATAATTTATTCTCAAATAACTACGTTACAAGAGTCACTCCAGTTTACAGGCTACATCAAATTGTCACAAATGCTTTCACAATTACTGTAAAGTTATAGCAGTTTATTTAAGTATATGTGTCATTTTCTGATTGCATATTTACACCATGTCACTGACAGAAACAGTATTATACAGCCTCATTTTCAGTAGTAGAGTACAAATAAGGAAGGAAGATGCACAATAGGTTCTTTTGGCGATTTGCCGAGATCAATAGTGAATTTGTTGGGAAAGGTCATATGGAACGTGCTGTTGATGATACCATTTCAGTTTTTCTTGTTGTCGGAAATTACCTACAAATGACCAATGAGTTTTTCTGTCAAATCTTTGCTGCATTCCTTGATAACCGTGATCTCAAAGGAATTTCTAAAATATCTTGTAATATAAGTAAATTGATTTTAATGTTGACAAACTGATCACCTTGGATGTAGTTTGCACATTGAATATGTTAGTTAGTGCTAAATGTTGGTATAGCTTCAACACGAATGACACAATACACCTGACTGGCGGGATTTACCCCCACTTTAGTACTAAGGCTCAGAAAGATAATATGATTGAAGCAATATTTCAACTACCACTCTTGTGGATTACCGAACAGGCTCAGTTGAGGATTTCGAAACTTCGTTCCTAAAAGTAAGAAAACAATTCCATATAGTTCTTGACTTAAGCGAACTATCACAGCCATCATGTGATCCAGCGGGTGTGAGGTCACTACATGGAGTAAGGTTGGAAAATCCTCCAACTTGGATTATTTGTTAACGAATGGTCAGCAACTGCTCGAGGATGTCCATGTCAACGCACTGATAGAAATTAGGGACCATGGTGCAGTCATGTTTCACATGGTCACAAACGAAATGCCCAGGAGGGACGGAAACGCGTCCTAACTTTTATACACTAAGGCAAAATACAAGACCGTGCGACAGCCTCTTCCACACACCTCATGGCCACAAGAGTGGTCGAAGCTAACAGTGGAAGCTGAGAGGCATCATTCAGATTTCGGTCCTGAGGAATGTGCCTTAGACAAATCACACACCTGGAAAGAGACGAATATGGGTTAAGTTGGGCACTGAACACTTGCTACAGAATAAAAGGAGAGCCTGGCATAAGTAGAAGGTCTCTCTGCAGGATTCTAGCCGTAGTTCCCACTCGGTATTGAGAAACAGGTGCAATATCTGGGTTGTTTGGGAAAAGAACGCGGGTATTGAAGACACTGAATGGTGAGTCGCTGTTTAATACATAGCAGCGATCAAGCGATATGGTTATCGTTGTTTTGTTCACCTCCAGGTAACAGTGTTTTGGTGTAGTTTTCATGAGTAGCTAACGGATTATAAGTGAAGCAATCAAAACGTCAGGTTATGAATATCCTGCCTAACGTGACACAAAAGAGCTTAGGTCCTCTACGTAAGTCCGCTCCCTAATCTATTGCCGAAGAGAGATTCTAAATCGGTGATGGGTGGAAAGACTAAACTTCACAATAACCTGCACTTGTGATGATTGTGTGAGATTTATATGGGAATAAGAAGCGATTTGATGATGTCATAGAACATATTAATTTAGCATAACCACAACAATACGAGCATCTTGCATCAGTAATTCCACCGTACTACTCTGGGAAACCCCAGAAAAATTGTATCTCTCGCTAGGTTCGTTGCAAACCTTTTCCCATTAAGAGTTGTCTTGACTTGAAATGCTTTCCTAGCCCGAATCGATCATAAGCCGTTCAGTGCATTGGCAACGATTTGATAAACACGTACAGACGTATGGATTATCATCTCCCTCTTGGACATGCTCTGCCTGACTCGTTCTAGTGAAACATCCTAGGCGTTATTCTTTTCATTTCCTCAGGTCACTAACTTATTACCTCGGTTTCCTGTTGTTTGCTTACAATTTTGTCCACTCACACAATCTTCACTACTAATTAATTAAATTATTTATTTATTCACTTAGTTCTGAAATGTTACTCTTCTGACTAACATTAAGAATTTTACTTGATTATACTCCATACTGCAAGTAACTGGTTCACAATCTGGTAATGTGATAGCTGTTGGTATCCAGAATCCCTGTAAGAGATATTGTAATTTGAACCAGCGGTTATTTTCGCCGGGTAGTCTGAAATGGAACACCTTGTCTCTTTTTGCTCTAGTCCAATATTTACGTCGTCATGTCTAAAGGATTGGGAAAAGTTTGGCAGAAAGAATTTGTAAGTGCAAATAAACAGTAAATATTGTAGCTAGTTTCTTCGCGTTTTAAAATAAAAGAGTGATCTTATCATTTTTTATGCGATTTGTTTGGGGTGTACAAAATACTGATTTTAACCTTGACAGCTTCCTCTTTGATTTTTGTCTTGAATTAGACTTTTTATTTGTATTTGTCCGTCGAATCTGCTTTCTCTACCTGACTGATATGCTTGTATGTCCACCCATTCACTCGTAATAGCAATTGTGATAAGTTTACTCGTAAGTGCGTATCTTTACAGCTTTTTTATTACTTTAAATCTCTGTCTGTGTACTTCATGCTCATATTATGTAGTTATGTTTGCAACGTTAATCTCAACATGACCAGTTAGATTCCAATTGAGTGACATTGACATTACTGATGGCCCTTTGCAGAGATTCTTACCTCATGCTACTCGTGTTATTTCTGGCCCTGTGAAACCATTCATAGTTCATACGGGTAGCCTAAAAAAGGTTGAAATGTAGTAACAGATTTTACTGGCTTTTATCAAATCAGTAGATCATTCATCTAAGTGGAATCTAAGTATGATTAAATTATTTGTAAACTGACAAAGACCACTTAACTATCGTGAAATGTGATAAAGGACATAAGTCATTACAACTATAAATTTCCATTCATTGGATAGTGGATAAAAGACAACACAATATTCAGGTTTAAATGTCACATGTAAGTAAAAATCGAAGCCAGTTAGTACAGAACGGTTTTCACTTGACACTTCCCTTTAAATGTTATCGTAACTTTTTAACCCCCTTAATCAGTCAGCATAGAGAGATTGAACTGTCAATTCAGATCCCATTGTAGTAGAAGAATTAGCAATAACATATAAGATTAGGGTTCGAAGGTATAATTAGAGAAGTAAATTCCAGTCAAATAAATTTCAAAAGAGATAAAAGGTCATAAAGAATTCAGAAGATTAGGATTTGAGAAAAATCAAAGAATGGATGCACCTACGCCCTTGCAAACGACTTCCAGCCATGCCATCCAAGATCTACAACCATCGGTTACTATCATTTCGCGGACCCCAACCAGGTAGTCTACACCTACCAACATGACTTAATCTACTTGTCAGTGACTTCATGGATTTGTGCCATGTTTTGGTCTGGCGGCCCCTAGCTTTCTCCTAGCCTAACCCTACGCCATGAAACATATCTCGTCAAGGCAGTCAGTGATTGGGCATAGGTAACACATGTCCCAACCAACTCAAATGATGAAGATTCACAACTTCAACAATTGACTTGTCATTCTCAACTAGTGCCCTTTTCCTGACACCAACTTTGCTTACTCGGTTGTCCCAGGATATATGAGCAATGCTTCTAAGACCTGTGATCGAATACTAGTAACCTGCGAATATCCCCTACTCTTGCTAACCATATTTCACACCCGAATGGTGGGACGGAGTAAACAGTTGAGTAGTTGACTCGTCCTACGGTTAGCAAATGGATATCTCGCCTATACCATAAGTGACGCTAGTTGGCAAAAGCCTTCTGTATCTGCTCTGACTTTTTGACATATCAGGACTGATGTGACCCCCAAGATAAATGAAATAGTCAACACGCTCAACTACTTCATTCCCTATCACTAATTAAAGTGCCGACACAAGCCAATGCGGAAGCAGCATTTTGCATTTCGACAGGGAGAATCGTATCCTGAACATGCTCAAATATTTGCTTAAGGTGTTCTTGTCTGTATCTTCATTAAATAGAACTATGTCATCGGCATACTCTAAGTCAACAAGCGAGTCTCCTGGCAGAAGGTCAACTGAAAAGTCAGACGATGAGGGTGTCGTCTCTAGAAGTAAGTCAATGACTAAGTTGAATAAGAATGGAGTCAGTGAACAGCCCTGATGGACGCCGCTTGAGGTAATCAGCTCCGATGACAGTTCACCATAAGCTCTTGCTCGGCCAGTGGTGTTCGAGTTAAGCGCCTGTACAAGGTTACCGTACTTCTTTGGTACACTTTTCAATGACAGACACTTATAGAACCTCATGATCTATCGAGTCGAGTGCCTCCTTAAGCTCGAGGAACACATCTACTGTCGGATGCCTGAATGTTTGTCTATGTTCTAAGACTTGACGAAGTTTGAACATCTGGTCTATACATCCATGGCCTAGTCTTGAACCAGCCTGGTTTCCTAGAGTCTGCTCCTCACGATCTCTAGTTAGACGTTTAAATATCACTGAAGCTAATATTTTAAGCACTATATTAGGTAAGACAATCTGTGATTGTCACAAGAGGACTTTTGCCCTTTTATTATAGACTGGGACAATCAGTGATTGAGACCAGTCAGATGGAATAACGTACAGTTCCAAGATTATAGTTAAGATTTAAGTCAATTTCACCGCTAAGACTGAACCACCATCCTTGAAAATCTCAGGAGTCAGTCCGTCAAGAGCTGCCGCTCTCCCTTGCTTTGGATCGCGTATGACATTTTCAACCTCATTCAAAGTCGGAGAACTTATACCAACTTGCTATTAAGGTTGACTAGAGATCGTTGGTAACCGAAGTGTAGCTGAAGGTCAGTTAAGCTTATCCTTAAAGTTTTCTGCCCATCTATCCAGTCTCCTGGATTGAGAATGAATAATAGTCCCATCCTTTTCCGAGATAGTCTTACTAACAATCGGATTCTAAATACCAGTTTCCTTGATCAGTTTGAACAGTTGTCTACTGTTGCCTATCGCCGCTGCCTTTTCCACCCCTCCCACTTTCTCTACCCACCAATGTTCGTGATCATTGCGTAGGATTTTTATCAGCCAGATGCGATGAGTTTGCGAGCATCCATCAGTTCGGTTGATGCTACTGAAATCCACTGCTTCTCCCCAGCCTTGTGGTTTACCTTATTAGCAGATATCACTGCTGTTTCCATAGCTTTTCGGATATCATTCCAAGCTGCCTTTTGGGGGATATAACTTACGTCGCTGCCCAACTTTTTCTGGCTGTTCCTGAAATGTATTATCTATGCTATCATTAATTAGGACCCTAACAGGTTTCTTTCCTACGTTCAGTAAGCCTCAAACAAATACGCGCCCGCACTAGAGCATGGTATGAATCTAAACAAGTGCTGCCGAATGAGCGGCATTCTCCTCTCCACCGATGGCTTAGCAATGCGACCTAGTGAATCCATCGCCGGGTCGGCTTTGGGGGTCGCCAGGTCAAGAGATGTTTTTCCTTTTGCCTAAAGTTAGTGTTTGCTAGAAATAGGCGATTATCTAAGCATAATTGCAGTAGGTGGTCGCCATTATTGGATCTTTGAGCCACGATACCACAAGATCCACCCAGATGTCTTTCCTTTTCACTTAATCTACTTGGGCATTAAATTCACCAACCATTATTACTATATCAGAGCGCCTGAGTTTTTGAAGGTCGGAAAGATTTCTGTAAAATCCAGATTTTACTTCATCCGAGCTTTAGTTAGTGGGAGCGTTGGCAGATACGATAAAGGGGTGACGGCGAGTGTCCCTATCTTTCCAAGTTCTTACTGTCGCATTTAGTCGGATAGCGCGAAAGAGACTCTATTGGAATTTAGTCTGCCCTAGGGCTCCGTGCTATGCCTACACCGTCGAGGTCGTGAGAAGCAGCAGTAGTGCTCCCAGATACACGAAGCATAAATCAAGACGGTTCGTTATCTTTACAAAGTGATGTCAGATGAATGATTCTACTCGAATTTTGTATGCGTGTTTCGGAGACGCGGCATACATTGATGGCAAGAGATTCTAAAGTTCTGGCTTAGGAAGCTTGTTGTCCTATTTGGCACAATGTCCGAAAATCGAAAGCTCCAACATGTTGTTGAAAGCGGTATTTCAGGAGATCAGGTATAAATTTTTGTGTATTCAAGACGTTTGCACCAGCCGCGCGAGGTGATAAAGGAACGAAGGAAATGTTGGTCGTGAAGATAAGAGTGAGCTATCAAGAGATGTAGGAGAGATTTGATTGTGACCGATTCGGTCTCGTGTGCTGTTATGGTTATGGCGTCGTCAGCAATAACCTATTTAACAGTGAAGAAACCAGCTCTCGGCTAAGGAGGAGATAAAAATGCTGGAGGGGAAGTATAACAGCAGAGAAAGCATCAGATCGCATCATAAAGTGAGCCCTGACTTGGAATACTGAAAGCAAAAACAAAAGCATCAGACCAAAGAATACATGACGGTATGAAGGAAAGTCATACATCAAGACTATAAATAGGATTCGGAACAACTCGAATGGAGAGCCCAAGAAGTAATTACTTAGAGGTCCTCAGCTGGCGGTTTTTGTTCCATGAAGGTTAACAGGCTTAAGTCGAGTAAAATAAGGAAGCACTGTTAGCTACATCTACTACTACTGCTTCGTTGTGCTGCATACTGATCGATTTTAAAAACAATCGTTTTATAAGTCGAACCGTGCAGTGACTTCGTTGGAATATGCTTCATATCTGAAAAGCATTGGGACATGTGTTCAACCACCGGCTGCCTCGTCAAGCTATGTTTTACTGTGTACGAGTAGGTTGGAAGAAAGTTGAGCGCGGCCAAACCAAAACATGGCACAAATCCATGAAGTCACTGACAATTGTACTGAATCATGTTGGTAGGTGTAGACTACCTGGTTGGGGTCCGCGAGACGATAGCAATCGGTAGTTATAAATCTTGGATGACACTGTTCAAAATCGTTTGCAATGGCGCAGGTGCATCCATTCTTTGTCTTCTCTCAAATCCTAATCTTCTGAATTCTTTATGACCTTTTATCTCTTTTGAAATTTATTTGACTGGAATTTACTTCTTCAGTTAATACCTTCGAACCCTAATCTGTTCGATTACTGCTAATACACTTCTACTACCTCTACTATTATGAGATTTCGTTCATACTTAAGTAGTTCTATGTTCTAACTGATCGATGATTAGATTCCTTTAAGGAATGTGTTTAAGCAAGTTCTTACGGTTATATTTTTAACTGTAGTCTTTTTTTCTTCGAAATTCCACAGCTTTTCAAATAGATTTATTTTCTCTATTACAGTTTAACAAAGTGCAAAGAAGGTGGGATGGCTGCATCTGTCAAACTGTTCACGGATTTGGTATTGAAATTGATAAGTGGAGAAGGGAAAATTGATATACTTGTTAAATTAATTCCTGAATTATTCAAAGTATGTTCATTATTATCGGCTTTTAAACTCATTGCCCTTTTTTTAGCTGTTTGGCAGTAATGTATCCTTTGAATCCGATCTGTTAGATTCACTATGGTTAATTGGTCAGTATATCATATATTCCTTCTTAAACATTCTACTTGTACACATTTAAACTCTCCTTCCCAATTTAGACTCATCCATTGCTGATATTAATTCCGAATCTGTTCGAGATCGTTTCTATCGGTTAATGGAAATTCTCAAGAATCATGTGAATCCTGCATTGATTATGGAAAGATTTTGTGAAGATACTTTGGAGAATTTATCATTTATTCAATCAAAACAACAATTTCAAACACGTTATGTTCGTACTAAGACGCGTTTATTTTTTAAACAACAAAAATTCAATTTATTACGTGAAGAAAATGAAGGTTACGCTAAGTTGATTACAGAATTATGTCAAATCACATCAACTAGTTCAATGGAATCAGTGATGATCCAGATCCGATCTCTCATTGGTTACTTTGATTTGGATCCAAATCGTGTACTGGATTTAATATTGGATGTTTGTGAGTTTCGTGGTGATATGTACGAGGAATTTGTCCAATTGATACGACTGTACAATCCGGATAGAATTGATATGACTAATATACTGGGACATAAATATCATTTCACACAAGTATGTTTCGTATAAGTCATCAATATTATTTTTCTTTTTTACAGGAACCCGGTGTTAGTACACCAGAATCATTGTATAAAGTTTCAGCATTTTTGATTTGGAAAAAACTCATTGATTTGGATGTATTATATGGACATGTAAGTTATGAAAATCATTTAAAAAGTTAGGGAAATTAAAAATTTTTTTAACTGTAGCATATCGTTTTTTAGTTTATCCATTTGGTTAGCACATTTCTTACTCATCAAGTGTAATCTGATTTTCCCTCAAACTAACATTTAGATAACTGGAATTGCGTATTTTAAGCCCGGTTTTAGTGGCTGATAGGAGTTGGTTGTTTGTAGTTTCATTAACGAGACACTCATCGAATATATCGTGTAGTATACTGGAATTCAACACTGCATGCGTCTTACGCAGTGTTTAGCAATCGTATATTGATGTGGTTGACAACATAGTTGTACATAAGAATATATATTCGGTTACTTTTTCAGATCGTTATGTATTGAGGTTATTAACCAGGCTTATATGTGAGCATGCACGAAGTCCTAGTTTGCAACTAAAATACACTGTACACTTGATAGGGTTGAACGTTTGTTCATTAGGTCACACATTCCACAGAACATTACGTAATAGTTCACCCCAAGTTCCTATATGTCTGTTCCAAACATTGTACAGCGGCTTCATTAATGTGTGACAAGGTTTTGAAATTGAGTCATTTGATAAAATTCAACACGGAGTTTTATTGATTCCTTTCAAAAGATGTTCTCTCTTATTATCTAACTATTTATACACTGAAATCCATTTTAAGTAACACTAAAACTACATGAAAAATATATAGATCATGCATATCTTTTAACTTTAAAAATGATTGGAATTTCCTTACGTTCAAAAACCATATTCTCATTTACAGAAATTCTTGATATTAAAATTCCAGTTTAGGTTGATGGAATTTCTGGTTGTCAGTTGAAAATACTATTTATCTTTAATTTCTGCAGGAAATTTTTTAAATACTTTGAGCATAATTGTTAGGATTAATCGTCTATAGTTCAACTGGAATATGTGTAACCATTGCATCTGTTTATGATGGAATGTGTTGTTGTCAAATGAACTAAATGTTTTATATCCATTGTTTCGATTGATAGTATTTTTGAATAAAGCCCATTTTCAGAAAAGTTTTCATCTCGTCTACACACAGTCAATAGAATATAGTCCTACTCTTTCCCTGATAATTTTTATATCAGCATGTGTTTGCTACTTACAAAATAATGAGTAGTTCAAATGTTTTAACAAAAAGTGTTTGCCTAAATTAATTATTCTCATAAATTAGTCTTCGTAGATACGTTATTTGCATCAATCGAATTGCAATGTAATTAATATCTTTTGAACTATAAATGAATTGTATGCATACCAACTCCAATAATATATAAATATTATATGCTGTTTGGCAACACATATGCTTGTTTTTAACCGAATAGAGTTGTTGAACCTCGTATTATCTTTTTTTTTTGCCTAATTGATACAATTTCCCTCTCATTTAAACACAGTTTATTCGCCTATCAGCTAAGTTTTACGCATTATAAACCCCAATTATAATGCTGCCTGATGTTGTTCGTAATCATAATTCATAATTAAACTAATTTACTTAGATACTTAGATAGAAGCTTTAATAATACTACATACTACCTGGTTGGGTGCCCGACCAACTTTATATAAATTAATTAAAAAACGAACTGTATGAACTCTATCGCATTTGTTATATGGTCGTTTTTTTTACAAGATTTAATTATATATATATAGAGTTACTAGTATTCAATTTTTTGTCTGTGACACATGCAACGTCTACTAAATCTTTTCATTTTTTTTTATTACGAAACACTGATTACCTTAAGATAGAAAAAAAAGAGAAAAGTGCTCACGTAATCAAGAAATATAATATATTTTTGAACATTATTTTCCGACTGTAAAATTTTTGCAATCTCTGTCTCTCTCTCTATACATAAATACGTATTACATAGGCATATAAAAAAAAAAGAAATTTTGTAATCTAGATTAGATTTTAATTTTTCTCCGCCAATTCGCATAATATGCATGTCTTTGTCTATGTGGACAAAAACATGCACATCTTAACATTCTTCTATAGGTTCGACGAAATGTTGGATTAAATGCATGATAAACAAATGGATTTAGCATAGAGCTAAGATATCCTAACCATTCTAAATGTGCCATTGCCTTGCCAGTACATTGTTTACTACATGCTGTGCATAATACATCAATGAAATAAACAATAAAAAATGGTAGATAACATATTAAGAATATGGCAAATAGTACACCGATAACACGAACTGCACGTTTTGCACTATGTATTCGATCAATGCTCATCATTGAAGGATTCGTTGAAGTTGTAGAACTTTGTCTAATTGTCGTATAATGATTAATAATTTTGCTAGATTTCATTTTATTTGATTGAACGCTGGAGATACCAGTCGACACGCTAGTCTCTTCATGTAATGAATCTTTTGTTGGTTTTTTTACATTCAATGTATTTTCATTGTAACTATGCGTGCTAGTTGTCATAATACTAGGTTCATCTGTTAGGATGATCGTATTACTAGCGGAGAAAGTTGTTGTTTCCATTGGTTTTTGCCATAATTGACATGAATGATGATTAGATTTTAATGATTTCCATTGTTTAATAGGCCATGGTTTATAATATTTGGCTTGTAGTGTATTCTTTGTCACAGTAACATTCATTCCTGTACAAGTAATAGTAGTTGTAGTAGTAGTAGTAGTAACAGCAGTCATATCACTTGATGCAACATTTTGATTGACAATGGTCGTCAGTAATTTTGTTGTTGTTGTTGTTGTCGTCGTCGGTGTTGTTAATAATGGCGTCGGTGATGTTGATGATGATAATGTCGGCGTGGACAATGTTGGCAATGATGTTAGGGTTAGTCGACGATTTGTATCACGACATTGTTTTTTTGTCACTGTATACAATTGTACTGCTTGAATTTGTTTCATATGTTTGCGTAATGTATGCACAGTTAAAATATACGTGACAATCATTATGATTAATGGTAGAATAAAAGTGATTAATATAGCTGTTAAAGCAAAACTTGGATGATTTGGTCCACAACCTTTATATGATGATTCTGTAGCATGAAATTGATCTTCCAATGACATTGTGACATCATCAGTAGTAGTAGTGAACACTGATTGGTTGTCATCTAACGAATAACCTTGATAATTCATCATCATTGTTGTCGTTGTCAATAATGATTCATATTCCATGGATTCTTTGTCTTGTCTCATTAATGCATACAAAAATAATGGTCCAGCTATAGAGAATGGTATTAACCATGAGAAAATAATACGTGCACTCAGTGTATTCAATGGATGATGTGGTGGTTGTGTTCTTACTGAACCAAATGGTTGTCTTAATGCTAAATATCGATCCAATGAAATATTACACATGTGTATGATAGTTGTTGCAGTGAAAAATATATCTAAACTATACCATATTAAACATAAGGCTAAATCACTGTTGGTTTGACCTATTAAAAGATTGCAAAGAAAAGAAAAGAGAAAGAAGTGAATTAGATAAGCGCGAAATTAAACAAACAGTATTTGTAAATTAGTATTACGAAAACACTTTAGAAATACCTTTATCCAAGGTTGGATTGGCTTTTGCCAACTTGCTACACTTATTGCGTAGGCGAGATATCCGTTTGCTAATCAAAGGACGAGTGTACTGCGCAGCAGTTGGCTCCGTCCTACTATAAGGATGCGAAATATGGCCATCAAGAGAAGAGGATATTCGTAGGCTACTAGTATTCGATCATAGGTATCTTCAAAGCATTGCTCGTTTATCTTGGGACTATCGAGTAAGTAATGCTGTCGTTAAGAAAAGAGTACTAGATAAGAATGGCAGATCAATGGATGAAGTATTGAAACTTCATCTCTTGAGGTGGTTGGGACATATGTTACCTATGCCCAACCACCGACTGACTAGAGATGCTTATCTAACATGAAACGAAACTGATATATATATATATATATCACTTAATAAATCATGCCTTAGAACTTCTTTGGCACATAAAAGTGTACGTGGATGTGTGTATAATGGTGTTATTTTTTTTTATGCGTACTTCATTTCAATACGATTTTCATTTTCTATTCCCGAATTATTGGAAAAAAAATATTTTTTTGTTGTTTTACCTTAGGCATGAATAAACAAGAAATTTAATTAAATTACTTTTTTCTTTTCCTATACCAAGTAAAATGCTAAAATGTGTTTTAATTTAATTATAAATCTTTGCAAAATAAAATAAAACAGGAAAATATGAGAGAAAATAGTACGTGAAACTGAATCATATATATATATATATATATATATATATATATATATATATATATATGCATTGTGACTTGTTAAGTACATTTTTTATGTTAAACCGATTGGAACATAAGATAGAAATAATATTTTTACAAAGAATAACATTCATATTTAAAGAGATTAGATTAGATTTTTTTTCTAAAAAAAGCAGGTAGGTCAAATTCTATTTGACTAGAATTGAATAGCTGTTCACTCTTTGAATACATACGTCGTAAGTTTCAAAGCCTATTTGGAATTGGATTTGATCCGGATAGGTTTAATGAATTATATCAGTCAGTGCATATGTATATATAGAGCAGACTTAAATCGGAATTCCAACTGAAAGTGTTGTAAATGATTTATTTGAAAGAGAAAGTTTATGGACTACTTTATTTGATTGTGACAAACTTCATGGCATCATGCATGGATTTGTAACTAGAAGTAAGAGTAATTTCAAATCAGTTTCATTCGTCTAAATATGTATCGTAGTAATAGGGGAATAAAATGTGAATATAGCTCAATAGGTTATGTGTTATTGTCGATCAATTCACCTACTGGACATTGATAAAATTATACGAATGTGGAAAACCCTAGCGGTATTAGACACTTACTCATATTGAAGCATATTATTCGATTGAGGTAACTATTTTGTTTTAATTGACTATTTTCAGACGATAAATAGTTGTCAACTAGTGTATTTCATCACATGACCTTTAGGTCATGCTTCCGTATCTTGTGATATACTTCATTTTTCTTCTTCTCACCTTTTCTCTGATTGTATATGTGTACGTCATTATGATCACAGTTTAAATCAATTGTCTAAATGTAAACTGCAACATATGAATTATGCGTTACCTACTACTTTGAATTTTTAAAACAAAACGAAAGAACTCATTATAGCGTGAATAATTTGACGAGGTATTTTTTTCTACTTGAGTTATTTAAAGTATATATTAGATGTATCTTTTCGATATTTTCGCTTACACTAACTAGATTATATTAATAATAATAATAACTATTACTATTAATGTGTAATTTCAGATTTTTTTCATTCCACATTTCCTCATCATATTCTTCTTAATCAATTCACATCATCATTATACTCCATTTTGCGGAATGAAATTTCACTGTAGCTTATTTCTTTGTTTGGTTCTGTTACTTTTTACTTGTCCCAAATCTAATTTGAATTAATGCAAACAGTTGATTAGTCAGTTAATTAGTTATTTTTTTCAACTATAATCACTGATTTTCATACAATCTAATTAGATTAGCTTAATCGAATTCATATCATTAATGTTAAGTAAGTAGGTAAGTAGGTAGGTAGGTAGGTAGGTAAATATTGGGCTTCGTTTGTTTTAAAGCTTACACGATATCTATCTATTCATTATTCTTAACATTAATAATTGATCAAGTTGAAATTATGTTAATTATTCTTTGATTCAATTTCATCCCCCTTTTTTTCGTTAAATATTCAATTTTTTTTGATTGATTATTTAGTAGTACTCTGTCGAATCATTTGCGTTCATTTACTCTGCTGGTTTACTATTGTTGCTGTAAAGCAATTGAGACTAGTGTTGTATAGAGGAGAAGGAACTATGCCTACGGTTTATTTTCCCTTTGAATGAATATGACTGAATTTTTTTCATTCTTTTAAAGCACATACTATGTGTAATAAATTTATTTGAAATCATGAATCGATCAATCTTAGACCATCATTAGAAACTTGGAAGCACTGAAAGACGACCGTTTCGTCCTAGAATGGGACTCATCAGCTGTGCGCATCCATGACTGCCGCACCTTACAGGATTCAAACCCAGGACCTTCGGTCTTGCGCGCAAACACCTAACCGCTGGACCATTAAGCCGTTAACTGACGGTGTTAATGTCTAACTTCGATACTAGGACAAAATGGCCTTCTTGCAGTGCTTCTAGATTTCTAATGGTGATCTAACATTGATCAGTTCATGATTTCAAATGTGTAACTTGACAATCTTCACAACCCCATAATTAAATTTATTGGTTATTCAACGATACACATAGTTTGTGAAATAAACTAAACATCTGTTGGAAAACACAAGAATTACTTTTTATTTATACTTTTCATCTCAAACTATTATCTCAACTGAACATCCATAGTGTAAACGAGGGAGTATTGAATAAAGAGCGATTTCGTACTAGTTATAAAATAATCTCACTCAGTAATCATCTGTCTATGACTTCATATTATATCAAAGATCAATACGTTTACATCACGTTCCTAGTAGAATATCTCAGTCAATCAGTAAGTCATTTACAAGGTTAAACTTCCTACGTAAGTACATAAGTTCTGCTTGCCATAACACATTAGCGCAGTTCAAATCCCATAGTGGTAGATGTAGTAGAAGCATTATCAGTAATCGGAGAGATTAAGATTTCAAGATATTATCCAAGAATTATAATCCATTGAAATAAACTTAAGAAGAGAAAGATGAAGGTGATGAGGAATTCATAAAGTTAGGATTTGAGAAAACACAAAGAATGGATGAACCTGCACCATTCCAAACAATTTTGAGCCATATCGATCAAGGTCTCTAACCATCATTTCGCGGACCCCAACCAGGTAGTCTTCACCTACCAACATGACTTAATCCACTTGTCAGTAGCAGATCTCAACATCTTTTTTTGATACATTACACTTTAGTCAAACTATGTCAGTCAGTTGCAACGTAGAACTTCGTACGGAAGTACATCAGTTCATGTTGCCATACCACATTAGCACAGACAGATGCTATTGTCAATTCAAATCCAATAGTAGAAGAGGTAGTAGAGGTATTAGAAGTAATCGGAGAGGTTAGGATTAGAAGATATTATTCAAGAAGTATGATTCAGTGAGAAAAGCTTAGAAAGTCAAAACTAGAGGTGTTGAAGAATCCAGAAGATTAGGATTTGAGAAAACACAAAGAATAAATATTGGTTGAAAACGTTTCTAAGTTGAAGCTGAGTTATTTTTTTTATCTAAGTTTGATGCTAGTTCAATATTCATTCACTCAATTAATGAATTAATTAGTAGTACTCAATGGAAATTCACCTACCCATAATCATATGCCATGCAGAAACAGGCATTACTAATAAAGCGCATAGTAAATCACTGATAGCCAATGAAACTAAAAATAAATTGAATCGATGACGTAATCGTCTTTCTATGTAGACAGCTAAACAAACAAATATATTTCCCCATATTGTTCCAAATGGTATAATATAAAGTAGTAAATATTCCCATCTTGGTGTAGTAGTTGTATGAAAGTAAGGTGTTAATGGATTCGTTGTAGTTGCTTGTCGAACTGTAGTGGTAGTAGTCGTAGTAGGAATCGTAGTGATCGTGGTTGGTAATTTTGCTGTCACATTACCGTTGGCGATCATCGTTTCATGATAGGCCATGATTGGTAATTCCACATTAAGAGAGTAGTAGTAGTAGTAGTAATAGTAGTATTAGTAGTAGTATTGTGTTATGATGTGATTACAGTGTTTTGTTTTTCATGGTCATGTCATCATATTATATTAACATTTATGAAATACAATAAATCCATAATTATTATTCAATCCTTCATACAATCAGTTTTGCAATTTGCCCAGAAATAATATATATATATATCTAAACACACTACATATGTAATGCTTCCAATCTGTATTCTCACATTATTTATTCACTCTACAACTCTTTCATGAATGCGAGAGTGCTATTCTTCTAAAAGTTTTCAAACTATTCTCTGATTTAGTACACAAATCGTTGTACACCACACATACACTCATTCACCCACTATGTATGTTCCCGTTCAATCGTGTATACCTGCATGGGTGTGTGTTTGTGTGTGCGTGTATGTTAGAAAACCTAATCTTAACACTACCAATACCCTATCTGTCTAATAATGTGTTACATTCAAATAACAACATTGATTTTAAAATAAGAAGGATTGGACAGTTTATTATAAACTAGGCAAAATAAATCAGAGGAATAAAAGTATAGTAGTAACAAACAATAATACTGTAGGTGGAGGATTAGTTGTTGGTTTACTGCCTCCCCCCTCTCTCTGTATATATAAATTCTTACTCCTTTTTTCTTCTATTTAGAAAGAGAAATACTAACCAATCATAGTTGCGTTGGCTATAAATAAGACACAATAGATATATGTTGAGTCTTCTGCATTTTTGTTATGTCTCCGTGTGTGTATACTCGTTTTGAAGATGTTTTTGCGGATTTTTTTAATTATTATTATTATTATTATTATTATTATGTGGTCTTCGTGTTACTGTTGGGGTGTTCAAACCGAAGTAGGTAATGTTCAAAAGGAACCACTCTTCGAGCATTTGACCTACAGATCTAAATCATCAAGTCGGTGAAGCTACGTTATGACAAACAGTTCCATGGTAACGTGTATGCAACATTAGATTCATACGCCATCAGTTCCTTGAAGATCATGTAACCCATATGTTCACCATCAGGGTTTTCCAACTCATCTAGATGAATCCTCCATTTCTATCAATTCGGTACACACTTTTCATACTCTACAATACCTCTGCCATGAGAATGTATTGAGTAGGAATGCTCTGTCAGTGGCTTTATACGCGTGGCCATCTACAAACATTTCGAATGAGAGTGGACTCTTCTCACTTTTAACAGTACCAGGGATTTTATAAGGGGAGGGGGAATAATTCATTGTAATTAAACTGAATATTATTGAAGCTTTCTCACTTAGTATTATTTCTATACTTTCTCATTCGGACACATTTTATTCAAATTAGAATATTATTTAACTCGAAGTTAACGCATAGTTTTATTTTAATGTAAAACTGCCAGTCAATATTTAATCTTCACTGAATTTTTTATTTGACAGAAAAGATCTTCAAGTTTCATATTAATTAAATTATATTCATTTAACTACTACTTGTATTTTATAATTTTTCATGTAAATTGAGAACTTTTTGTTATTCAATTATGGAGATAATAATTTTTTTAGAATAAGTGACTCTTATCAAATTGGGTTGGTTGTCATTTATGTCAAATTGAATATTGACGTCACTAACCGTAGTGACCAATAGTTAGAGAGACCTTGAACGACATGGTTCAAAATTGTTTGCCATGGCGCAGGTGTATCCATTCTTTCTGTTTTTTGAAATTCTAATCTGATGAATTCCTCATCATTAACTTTCTCCTTTTAAATTTACTTCACTGGTTGACGCTTCTTGAATAATGTCTTCGAACCCTAGTCTTCTTCATTTACTGCTAATACTTCTACTGCGTCTACCATTATGGGATTTGAACTGACAATGGTGTCTCTGTGCTGATGCTGTGGTATGGCAACTTGAACTGATGTACGTTTGTACGAAGTTCTAAATTGTAACTGACTGACATTATCCATGTACTATTGTCCCCATTCTCGTATTCAATTTTAACATCTGAAGACAATGCATTGTGTCAACCCAGCTGACCATCCAAATCACTTAACTTCAACATATGGTTATTACTGCTATTATTACTACTTACACTAATGCTTCATAACTCTTCGTTCATTGATCGGTTCGGATACCTTATTATTGCTATTATTAGTTATCAAAAATTGGCTAATCACATTCGTTGAACAATAAAATTCTTGACATCAGTTTATTTCAGTCCAAGTCAGCTAGATGATACGGATCGTTTGTGGAGATTGGGTTTCAATTTTTGGTATGACTATTAATATCGCTTAATAAAATAACTGAGAAGAAGTACTAGTGACATAGTGAGACAATCAGAAGATGACCATCAGAAACGTCCTGAAGGACCGATGCATATCATTGGACAAGAAACGAATTCATTTTTTAAGAGGATGGGATATATATCTATCTATGTAAATGAATATTTGTACATATTATTCAGTGATCAAATAGGCTATCTTCTGCTCTTGCTGTCTCTTTCAAGTATCCAGTTTGATGGCTTAGTTCATATAACTCTGAGATCTCGGACAGTGCACATCGTAACTATCAAAATCAATGAATTTTGTAATTCATACCTTACTAAACCCATTTCAATCTTAATAGCTACTCAGGATTGTTAACCCTGACGTACAATAAAGTTGTCTAGTTTTTATCTATATACTCAATACTTACTTACTTACGCCTGTTACCCCCAATGGAGCATAGGCTGTTCACCAGTTTCCTCCAGCCAACTCTGTCCTGGGCTTCCCTTTCTAGTTCTTTCCAGTTTTTTTTCATTCTTATCATATCGTTCTCTATTTCTCGGCGTAATGTGTTCCTTGGCCTTCCTCTTTTCCTTTTTCCTTGAGGGCTCCATGTGAGGGCTTGTCTTGTGACGCAGTTAGGTGCTTTTCGCACTGTGTATCCTATCCACTCCCACCGCTTCTTCCTGATTTTTCTGGTTAGCGTTTTTTGGTGGGATGGGGTCAGCAAACCCATGCTTGACCCTCCTCCTTTATTCAGGTTTGGGACCGGCAGTAGCCTCGAAGGTTCTACAGGCGGAGTTATATGCTCAATAAGTTACTTTATATTTTAATTGGAAACAAGCATTTTTAGTAGCACTTAGAAAAAAAACTCAGTTCATAGTTTAATAATTAGTTACTAGTATTTGGTCGCAGCTGCTTTCAAACCACTGTTTGTGTATGTCGGGAACACCAAAAAATCAGTACTAACGTTGAACTCTACTAGACAAATTGGTTGGTAAGATTGCTAATCTCCATAAATTGACAAAGTTGTGACATGTATTACGCGTATCCAACCATCGCCTACCTCTCTAAGTTATTATGATTGTCATAGGTTCAAATACGATAAAAGTTAGGGTTGGCAAGTTTAATACGCGTGACATCAGTCCATTGATTATTGGCCTAAACCATATGCACAATTATTGTGACTATTGGTTAAAGACTTGTATGACATAGTTCTAAATCAATTGTGGTGGCACAAATGCATCCACTCTTTTTCTTTTGTTAGTTGCTAAATTACAAAATTGTTATGAATGCACATAAGCATGTCAATTTGATATGCTTGAATTATTACGAGTTTACCTTAGTCGGAAAACGAGAGCGAGAATTGAAGATCTGGCGACACGATACGCTACTCTAATCCGAATATCCCGAACTTCCATTGAGTAAAAGGAGAAGACTTGATATGAAGTCGAACCTGTATTCTACAATCACCCAGAAAGTACGAGGTTCGAGTCCAGAAGAAGATAAGGATCCGGGTCATAAAACGTTACAGATAATGCGTATTTATACAGTTAGGTCGAATAGGGAACAACGTTGAAGTCTGTGACATTGATAGTTAGGGCGACCATAATATTGACCAGTAGGAATTGACCAATAGAATTAAACCACCAAAAATAATTCTCTTAGGATATTTGATGCATATCCTAACAGCGAGGTACTGCGCAATTGACCATAATTTATAGTTAGAGACTGCATACCACATGGCTGAAACAAAAATCTTTTTATTGTATTCCTTAACCTATTTTAAAATATGAATTTAATCTTATTCGTTGTTTTTGAAACCAAATCTTTTACCATTTGTTTCCTACAGCAACTACTAATAATACTTTTTTAAAATTTCTATCCTATTGCTGTTATCTTTTAATTTACTGTACAGAAAGTGAGCCAATAATGTATATTATGGAAGTCTCTTTAGTATTTGTAACTGACTTGTGATTACCCTCCAATCACAACAAAAGAATTAAGCAGTTTACGTAACACGTATCTGAACATGCTATTACAAGGATTGTATGATACACGACAGATGTAATTGTAAGTGAATCGTTCACCTAGCTAATATCGTCAACCCGATGATCCTGTATGGATTAGAATCAACTACCGTATATATGTATATACTCAAGACTTGTACATCAACGTTTTGATAGTACAATACTTTCAGTGCATTTATTCTCTATAGCTAGCTGATTAAGTAAACTGGTTTTTGTTGAGTTAAACTATGAAACTTATCAACTTGACATTAAGTGATTTGGTTGGCTACTAGATGGCGAAAATCGAAAAGAACAGCACAGGATCCAATGTTTAAATGTTTCTTATTATTGAAATACTATTTCACATCTTTGATTTTACATCGAAGTCATGAATGAGTCACTGTTAGACCACCATTATGAACCTGGAAGCATTGGACGGCCGTTGCGTCCCGACATCAATCAACATCCACAACTGCCGTTACTCGCAGGATTCCAACCCAAGACCTTCGGTCTTGCGCGCGAACACCTAAACTGTGAACCACTGAGGTTCGAGTACAGAAGAGAATCAGGATCTCGGACTAGGGATCCGGGTCCGGTCCATAAAACGTTACAGATAATGCGTATTTATACAGTTAGGTCGAATAGAAAACAACATTTGAAGTATGTGACATTGATATCTAGGACCAGTAGGAATTGACCAATAGAATGAGACTTACAAAAATAATTCTCTTAGGATACCTGATGAATATCCTAACACAAAACTCAGTCAGCCATAGCGTAGAACTTGTTACATACTTAATTACATCAATGTTCAAGTTGCCATACCACCATATTAGCACAAAGAGGAAGGTATTGTCAGTCAATACAAATCTCATAGTGTGGTGCGCGCTACTTATAAGTAGTATATGACGTGAGTGTAAACGTAATGTCTGGCAGCAGAAAATGGGGGAAGATCAAGAAAGGAAGAGTGGGAACATAATGGAATTTGCGTGAAACGCATGAATAGTGAGTGAAATGTCAGACAATAATGGATTGATGATGGATTGAAGATTTGCAAATTAACAACGGTTACGATATGGTTGGTTTTCCTATTTTACTACTGAGTAACTCTGTAATTTTCGCTTAAAATACAATTCAATTGCCCTCATTTGTGTTCTCCTCCTTCACTACAATAGAGTAGTACAGGTTGTAACGTCTAGTCAGTCTTAAAGATGAAAATTTATTATATTCTTTATTAAAAATATTGTACCGTTCAATTTGATCAATAATTTAAAATATTAACAAAAAAATTAATGTTTAGTCTAACTATTCTTATCGTCGTCATCATCATTATCATTCATGTTTCCATAGTATTATTGTTTTATTTCTTTTTTTAAATTTAAAAAAACATTTTATGACTTTTCTTCTTGAAAAATAATATTTCCCCAATGGTCAATCAATTTTTTTTCTTTCTTTATTTATTTTATCGTGTTCATTCACATAGAGCTGAAGAATATAGTTGAAACTTTTGTCTATGAGTAGTAGTATAATTTGTTTTACTATGTGTACTACTACTACTACTATTAATCACGAAATAGTGTTCAGTTTTCAATATTTTTTTAGTTCTACTCTACAAGGTGGTTACTATTTGTAATTTGAGTATTTCTCTATTTGTATTATTATTTTTCTTATTGCATGCAACTTATCAGCTAAATCTATCTATCTATCTCTATGCTTGCTAGTTTGAATTTTATTCAACACAGACATATAATCTCATCATTGATTAGTTTTGAAATAGAACACAAACGATGCGCTTTTCCGAATTCTCTTGTCTTAATGTCTGTATTATTCTAGTTACTATTATCATCATGATAATTGTATGTTTTGACAAAAAAAAGTCGGAACTAATCAATTCAACAGTGTCTTGAGTAGATAACACAACTGAACAGCAAGAAATAATCAATCCCCCCTATTTTACCGCACAATTCTATGCACTATTGAATTGTATTTCAATGTTTACCAATAAATTTCAAATCATGCTTGATTGTTGACTTGAATCATGGTTTCTTTTTATTGTCAGCTTGTTATACTCGTAGTCAAAAGATTTTGATTGGGTTTTTTCGTCTCATTTTGCATCCTATGAGATGCACAGTCATTGTGGTTGTGTATTTTTTAAACCGAATTCTCTAACATGAATACTTTTTTTGGGGGGCATGTTAGATCCTTAGAACTCTCACTTGGAACAAGTGTAATTTATTTCTGATACTTTGGACGCTAATTTGACCTTTAGCTTACATTTTCCACTCGGAAAATCCTTAACTATCATTGGTTGGTGAATTATTTTAGTGGCTATCACCAAGGGTGTTGTTATCATTGTATAAATAAGCTTGATTTGTGTACTTAGCAGCTTCGACCCTCCTGGGTGCCTGTAGAATACATTCTCTACACCTTATCAAAACGTTTTGCTCTGGTTAGTAGGGCCTGTGACGATCAGATTAGAATAGCCTATTGTGTCACTGTATCATTGATCTGCTCTCCGTTTACCCGAGTAAGGTGAACTCGTAAAAGTTTCTAACATATCAACTTAAATATACATAAAACTCTCATGTTGTATACAATTCTTTTGATATATAGTAGTAGTAGTATGCTAACATGAGTGACATGAAAGGTTCAAGACATTCGCCTAGATAAACTTGTTGATTATATGCCTTCATTGTCAATAAATTATAGAAGCTAAATTGCATACTTTTTAAATGTTTGATTTCAAATATTGATTTACCGATATCCTATGATCATGTAATTTATATTGTTACCACAATGCCTATATACACATACATATCATTATTTTAAAAATAACTTTATCCAATATCATAATATTGGTTACGTTGTCAGTCAGTCAGTTACAACGTAGAACTTCGTACGTAAGTACATAAGTTCAGGTTGCCATACCGCATCAGCACAAAGTCGCCACTGTCAATTCAAATCCAATAGTGGTAGCGATAGTAGAAGTATTAGCAGTAATGGAAAAGATTAAGGTTCGAAGCTATTATTCGAGAAGTATAATTTAGTGAGATAACTTTAGAAAGAGAAAGATATAGATGTTGAGGAATTCAGAAGGTTATAATTTCAGAGAACACAAAGAATAAATGCATTTGCGCCATTGCAAACGATTCTGAGCCATGTCATTGAAGGGTTGGTTACGTTGAGACGTAATCAATCGAAATTATGCACTAAATAATCTTAACTATTGATCAACTGTTGTTATTTGTAGTTAGTTAGTTAGTCATCTGCCAAAGGTTTTGGCTATTTTAATAGCATTGTATCATAACCCATTTTTGCTGTATGAATTTCACTGTAGTCACCATCATTGTCTTACCCATGAATAGAAGATATATGAAGGATATAATGCACTAACCATTGTGATGATGCTGTTTGAATTTTCCAAAGCCTTCAATACATTGTCCATTTATTATGTAGGATTAATCATCTGTGTTAAACTCAGTGACTTTATGAAATGATTCGATAGCGTGACGAAAAAAGAATAATATAGGACTGGCATTTATCGACCCAATCACGACCCTGTGATATTTGAGGTCTTCTAAATGGTACAATTCATCAGGGGAAATCGTACTGTTCTCTTCCTTTTTTCTTCACATTTTTTGGTCCATAACAAGTGTATCATATTTTGAATATACTAAATAAGTAAAACGTCAATTCCATCATGTGAACTTAATATTAACTACAATAATTGCACAGTATGAACATAGGTGAATGGAAAGTTTTCAAAGATCACTTTCAAACAATCGCATAGAGTTACATATATATATATATATATATATATATATATATATATATATATTTAAGATTAATGTCATTATAAGTTCTTCTGCTATATAAAGCTGAAAGTTTCCTATGAGATTAGAGATTCGTTGTGATGAACATTGTGGCTGGCTTGGCATTCCTTTGCAAGTATCGCTAACAGTCCATATACAAATTTGGTTTGTAGGGTGACCGATTTCATTGATATACTGCTGGTTGGTTGTCTTGCAACATTCCTGAAAGCCATTGTCATTGGGGTTCTGTATTTCTACAGATCACCATTATTAATAATAATGAGTTTGACGGTCATGCAACCGGGATGAGTCGAATTGGTTTGTTCATGCGGTGCATATTGATTGACACGATCATGGATCGGAAATAATCACTACATTATGTACTAGTGTTTATAAATGGTGTGAATGGTCTACCAGGATGTCAGGTACCTGTGTGGCTAGGCCACACGTTGAAATATTAACACGTGGGCAGTCTCTTTGGTTCTCCTGGAAATCACTGTAAAACTTTATACGTCCAAACTACTTTAAATCCAACATTGTCATATTTTTAATTCATGCTGATTTTCGTTATTGGTTACCTGTATTTTTTCCATTTATTATAGTTAACTCCATCTGATGCAGATATTCAACAATCATACAATCGTCAAATTAGTTTGGCTAAATCTTATCGACCACAACCTCCGGCAAGTTTGTCTTATTCAACCACATCGGCAATTAATACTTCATTAAATACTGCAATCAATAATGACTTAATACGTGTTGATGGTAATTTACGGATCAGTTCCATGTAAAAAAGAAATCATTTTATGTTGTTTAGGTCTATTAAATCAGGATTCTCAACTTGGTGGCGGTGGCGGTGTCGGCGGCGGCGGTTCTGGGACATTAATGTCAAACGATTGGACTGGTGGTCCTAGACAATCAGCAGCAATGCTTAGTTCTCGTTCTGGCGATGAACTCATGCAATTGGATGAGAATTCCGATGTGAATTTGCCTAAAATCAATTCCAGTGATGGTGAAGTTGGTGGCATGATCGATATCAATTTTGATCAAGATGGATTAGTGAGTTTTTTTTAATTCTATGTTAACTTGTTCAATGGTTGTGTGGACGGAGAGAATAAATTTTTCCTTATACTGAGACGTATTTACGCTGTGTCCAAGTGGTGTATTTTTGAACTTAATGCAAACTCATACAGCAGTTAAACTAGAAAGTGTATTCCAAAGATATGCATACCATTCAAGGATTTCAATTTAAGTAATGTAAATCAATATTTATAGTTGAAAATTTTAAACGTGTGTTCACACCCATACTCTTTTGATAGTAGTTGTCCGGGTAAAAGTTTTGGCTAGATGTATGACATATTTTTGAGATTAATTTTCACATCAACAAGTTTTGTGATTTTTTTCGTTAAAGTTGAATAAACTTCAGTAGAAGAAATGGGTTTTCAGTCTACGACCTCTTTAGTCGAATGTCAATTATTATTTTAATCACGTAGCAACTGTTCAACATATGACTTAACTCGTGTATTGATGACCTATATCCTAGATGTTAAGCCATATCACAATGATAAGAAACAACACATGTTATGTCAGTGTAAAGTTCTAAAGATTATTGAATTTAATTGGAAGCAATGAATAACCACTTCTACCTAGTATCGGACAACTTGACAGTGCTTATTACAACCCTGTGACTGGGAACGGAGCACAGGACCTCCAGCCTCGTGTGTGATCGCCTAACCTCTAGACTAGTGAGCGATTGCCAAGTAGTAGTAGTGTATCATATACTCAATAGTGGCTAACTTTGAGGTGGAATTCCTTGATTGCTCATTATCGTGGATTTATTAGAATTAGACTTAGGCACCATTGGATCCTAGTTCAGTGATCTCACGTTCATACACAAGATCCTAAGTTTGACTACCGTTTGCAGGATTGTGGGTTCACTCTGTTGAAGTGTTCCGTGTTGTGATTAAATGGCTATCCAGTGCTTCCGGGTTTTTAATGGTTATATAAATTAAATCGTCTTGTGACTTCAATCTTATATGCATTAACCAGTGGCGACCTACTTAAATGTTTGTGCTTCCTGTTCCATAACATACTTCGACAAGTTACCTCTTATTGTTTGTTTTAATGTGTCAATTATCTCTCTTAATCGCATAATTTATCCGGGTTAGTATATAGAAAGTATCCTGGAACAACCGAATAGGCAACGCTGTCGTTAGGAAACGACTACTAGGTAAGGATGGCAGGTCGATAGATGAAGTATTGGAACTTTATCAGTTTAGGTGGTTGGGATATTTGTTACATATGTCCATCCAACGACTGCCTCAACGAGCGATGTTTTGTGATATAGGATTAGGTTGGAAGAAAGCTAGGGGTGGCCAAACTAAAACATGACCTTAAACTAGATGGCTCAAAATCGTTTGCAATGGTGGAGCATCCACTCTTTGTGTTGTCTCAAATTCTTACCTTCTGAATACCTCATCACCTCTATCTTTCTCTTTCTAAAGTTATCTCACTGAATCATACTTCTTGAAAATAATATCTTCGAACTCTAATCTTCTCCATTATCGCTAATACTTCTACGAACTCTACCACTATGAGATATGAATTGACGATTCCATTTCTCTGGGCTAATGTGGTATGGCGACTAGAACTGAACTGATGTACGTGCGTTCGAAGCTCTACGTTGTAGCTGACTGACTGTCGACCAATCTATTTAAAAGGTACAAAGAAGTACAGTCTGAGTTATCGCGGTGATCGGGAATATGCATTGAAATATAAACCTGTTGACATATTTCGCGCTGTGTATTCCATTTTGTACTTAGTATAAATTACTAAATAAAGTTATTATTATTATTATTATTATTATTATTATTATTGACTCCTCTCCTAAAACACTCGATTAATTTGCGATAATTTAGCATAGTTAAGTCATATCTCTCTACTGCTTATCTATCACTAAAAACTTACTGATAATCGTAAGAAAAGATTTAAATTGTGTCACAAAAAAATGCGGATACCTTGACAACGTACATGTTAACCTTATTCATTCATTCATACATTAAAACAACAAATATTGACGATGACGACTGAAAATTAAAATCTGATTTAGTTCATTTTAAGTTGTAAGATTTAAGAGAAAATCAAAAAGAATAACAGGATCTGTGAACAAGTCACACCATCTTCTTTTGATTTCACTGATATTTAAAAATAAGGTCATTTATTTCATTTAAAAAAAACAAAACAAATTGAATGACTATTGATTCTTGAATCATTCGAATATCTATGTTCATAACACAAATTTCACATATATATCAGCAGCTGTTCAACAGCTTCAAATTAGCAAAATATAAAAAACACTGAAGTTGTCGTAGTTGACAATGACTTGAAGATTTGAAATAATCATTTTGTATCATATGGTTTTTAATAGGCCTCCTTTTTTTCTAAAAAAACATTTACGTCGGTTTGTGTTGATATATACATTAATGTATGTCGCGCAGCATTGTAGATTGGTTCAAGTTAGACATCAATATTGTTGGATGGCTCTACTTAACTGATGAAAAAAGATTAAGCTTCCGCGCTTGAGACCGAAAATCTTTGATCCAATCCCCGCTTGCGAGGTCGTGGATTCACACTGCTGATGAGTGCCATACTAGGACGAAACGATTCATGATTTCAATGTTTATCTGTATTCATCATCCATACTCGGTAAAATATAAACACTGAGAGATAAACTAATTCATATTGGATATGGTGCGTCAATTGAATATCACAGTACTGAATCTTTTGTGAACGTCTTCAAGTCAGAAAAATCAGTTCATAACGTTATATCATAGAATCGATTTCGCAAAAGTGTTATATATTTGTCTGTTCTAGTTTTCTTGATGTACCCACCTCGGAATGTTAAAAGTAACATTCGTACATATCTTTTCTGGTCATTTGAAACAACATAGAGTGAAAGAGTGTTGTATACTTCTTCTACCCCACTTAATCTGTTTTCAATGTAATTCTTAGATGACACTTTTCCTAACGAATTGAAAATAACTCTGGGTTCATTAAACGTAAATACTTTTGACCAATTGTTATATGTCACACTACTCGTACAATTGATAGTATGTGCAAAGATGAAGTTCGTCATGAAATGTCAGTCAGTCAGTCAGATGCAACGTGGAACTTCGTACGTAAGTACATCAGTTCATGTCGCCATACCACATCAGCACAGAAATATAATTGTCAATTCAATTCCAATAGTAGTAGAGGTAATAAAGGTATAAGAAGTAATCGGAGAGGTTAGGATTAGAAGATATTATTCAAGAAGTATAATTCAGTGAGAAAAGTTTAGAAAGTCAAAACTAGAGGTGCTGAAGAATCCAGAAGATTAGGATTTGAGAGAACATAAAGAATAAATGCACCGGCGCCATTGAGAACGATTTTGGGCCATGTCTTTCAAGGTCTCTAACCATCGATTGTCATGAAATGTAATCGAAAAAATTTGGCGTACAATTTACTTTTTCATTTATTTTGTTCAGCTTCGTTTTCGGTTTGTAAAACGTTACTTTTTTTCAAATTACCTTCATTTAAATGGTATGAATTAAAATGTATCAATCCAGTATGACTACTCTTCATTGACATACATTCATCAAAGGTGATTTTCTCTTATGGTGTCATTCAGGCTTAATGTGTATAAAAGTCTTGAGAATTATGTTAGACTGTTGATTACTCTTATATGGAAAAACATGAAAACATGTCGGGACATACATATCCTTCATTCAATCAATTTTAATTTTTTGAGAAATTGTCAGATCATTAGGTAGTGACCGATATCTTGTTGCGTCAACTTCTCCTTAGTGCTGATCAATTTCTGAAGATGAAATCACAATATGGCCACTGATCTTGATGATTCGACATCGTGTGCACTATGTTGAGATGTCAGGTAGTGTTCGGCGATAGTTGGCTGAAAATCCCGAACCTAGGTTTCGTGCTGCTTGGCATGCAGAGTGTATCTGTAATCTTGAAAGAACTGATCCTGCCTGGAGAACTCGATCCCTCGTCATTTAGTCTCTGTCAGGGACGTTACCACTGACCTATCCGTACTGTAACCGTCCTCATGTGGAACTGAGATGTTCCAGAGTTTCTTGTCGACTACCTACAACCAGCAACCTCACAGAATATGGTCATGTGACACAGCAGCATGTCCATTAAAAGCAAACAGCACAAACACTCAAACTACTTAAATTTTCTATTGATTAGATAATTTGTACAACGAATATGCACAATTTTTTCTCTTTTAAAATCAATTACAAAATCTATTCATTCATTTGTTAATTTAAACAAAAAAATTTTAAAATTTTTTTCATTCCAGTATGAAAATAATCAAAAATTAGAATTATGCGCTGCTATGGTACGTTTAGGTGATTGGACCAATGCTCAACGTCTATTAGAACGATTACCGGGTTATTGGGCAACTACATATAGACCTTTAACACAAGATATATGCAATTTATTGCATTGTCTTATTGAACCTTTATATAATAAGTAAGTTGTATCTTACTTACTTATTGAATTTCAATACACTTTATAATCACAAGGTCACACACACATAGCCTTATCACATTCCAGTTAAGGTCATTGTTTCTAATATTTTTCAACTCTGTCGTAGAGCATCCTAATACGGGTGAAATCAATTCTTATTCATACTGTAATTATTGTTCCAAAAGCTCTAGTGCCCAAATGTACCACATTAGCACATAGACACAATTCCATCGGTTACGACTGTCTTGCTGACACCAACCAACATGACCTAATTCACTTGTCATTGACTATGAATTTGTGCCGTGTTTTGGTTTGGCCTTCTCTAGTTTTCTTCCAACCTACTCCTACACCACAACAACACTCGTCGCGGCAGTCGGTGCTTAGGCATACGTAACACAAGTTTTACTACTTCATCTATCGATTTGCCATCCTTACCTAGTACTCGTTTCCTAACGACAGCATTGCCTACTCAGTTGTCTCAGGATATACAAGCAATACTCCGAAGATATCTATGATCAAATACTAATAGCCTACGAATATCCTCAACTCTTACTGGCCATGTTTCACAGCCATAAAGTAAGACGGAGCAAACTGCTGCACAGTAGACTCGTCCTTTAGTTTGCGAACGGATATCTCGCCTACACCACAAGTGATACAAGTTAGCAAAAACCAGTCGAGCCTTCTGTATCCGCGCTCTCTGCCTAACAGTCTCACCTTATGTGACCACTATTTTAGCTTACCACATTGCTTGGAATTATAGATACGAATTCGATGATAGCTAAGTGTCTGGTCTATGAAATTGCTTCACTCTGTCTGAAATCATACTCTCTATAATAGAGGGAAGTAGTTAAAGCCATCAAGTCTCTAATTATTAGATTTCTAGTTGAAATTCTATGTTGAAACCATGAATCGATCATTGTTAGACCATCATTAGAAACTTGAAATCATTATGGACGGCTGTTTCATGATTCCGTTTCGTTTATTCTTGTGTCTCATTTTTCTGCTTAACTGTATATCTTTATTATTTAGTTCCATATCGTAGTTGATTTCAACTCTGTTCATATCAAAAATATCTTAGTTCTAATTTAAAATGTATCAGCTTTAAACAAGAACACATTTATTATACTTAGGTCTCTTCTTATACATGGAGTGTTAGTGAATTGAGTCAAACTTCAAGAGCTTAGGCGTTCTCACACAAAACCGAAGGTTCTGTGTTCGACTTCTGCGAGTAGAGTGAGTCGTAGATGTGCACTGCTGATGAGTCCCATATCAGGACAAAACGACCGTCTTTCAGTGTTTCCAGGTTTCTGTTGGTGGTCTAATAATGATTGATTGATGATTTGAATGTGTAAAAACACTGGTCTCCACAACTGTAATTCGAAAGTATATCTATAAATTATTCAGACATTATGAATTTTTCTACATTGGTGTATGGAGAAGCCTTGGAGGACGTTGAAACCTTTACATTTCTGGGCAGCATCATCGACAGTCAAGGTGGATCCGATGCAGATGAAAGTCACGGATCAGCAAAGCAGGGGCAGCATTTCTACAATTGAACAACATCTGGAACTCAAAATAACTGTCAACAAATGCCAAAGTCACAATTCGAAATACAATTGTCAAGACAGTTCTACTATGTGGAGCGGAAACTTGGAGAACTACCAAAGCCATCATGCGTAAGATACAAGTGTTTATCAACAGTTGTCTACGCAAAATACTTCAGATCCGTTGGCCAGACAAAATCAACAAAAACCTAATGTGGAAGAGAATAAACCAGATTCCAGTGGATGAGGAAATGAGGAAGAAGTGGTGGAAGTGGATAGGACACACATACAGGAAAGCACCCAACGGCATCACAAGACAGGCCTTCACTTGGAACCCTCAAAGTCGAAGGAAGTAAGGAAGGCCAAGAGACACATTACGTAGAGAAATAGAGATAGATATGAGATTAATGAACAAAAATTGGACAGAATTGGAAAGGGAAGCTCAGGACAGACTGGGTTGGAGAACACTGGTCTGAGGCCTATGCTCCATTGGGAGTGACAGGCATAAGTAAGTAAGGTTCTTGTAAAAGCGAAATATTTCTAATGATTGGTTGATATTATTAGACAATTTTTTAAATACAATTTTGTGCAGTATAAGTTTCTGTTTTTTTTCCTATTTCTCTTCAGAGTTAATCCTTTACCTGCTTGTCTACAACGTAATCGTACTCGACCAAAAGTGGAATTATTCAAAGCCTTAAATACTACATCATTAATTCATTTCAATTCAATGGATACAACAAAATTCCCTATTGATTGTGAAATGAATGATGTCAATCGAAGCATTACAACGAATCATGATCAAGATCATGATACTACTAATACTACTGCCACTACTACTACTACTACTAATCATAATGATAATATCCCATTATCACCTGTACATGATTTTATTGATCTTGCGAAATCAGTTATACCGATTGCAATTTATTTAGGTCCACATATGTCGTATGATTTAGTATTGATGGTGAAATTTTGTCGTCTTGGTCAAATCTATCTATCGGAACAACAGCAACAACAACAAGTAAGTCTGTTGTTTGTAGTAGTTGTTATTCTAATTGATAAACAAACATACAAGCAATTGATGCTTTACTTCATTGATGAAAGAATCAACACATTCATTCATCCAGTCCACTAAGTGTGTGTGTGTGTTTGTGTGTTTAAAGTGCTAGTGTTTCACCCAAGGAGACGGAAATCCGTGAGTTGGGGGAGGTGTGACATTTTTAGGTACGACTTCGCCCTCAGACCTTGGGTAGCTGCTTTTAGTCTCATCGTTCTCCAATCGACCAGCCTGGCATGGTAGGACCTGCAGGAACATATGTTCCAGCCAGTATAGCTCGGTTGGGTCATCACGATAGGCAAGCCCGACCACCACGTCAAGGTAGTAGCTACGGTCGGGCAAACTCTCGTACTTCTCTGTACACTAGATACTGAAACAGCATTATTCTATTCGAATTCAACAGAAGTCAAATTAGGAACGTGTAATTAATTACTTACTTACATATTTAATTAAGCTTGTTACTCCCGATGGAGCATAATTCGCTGACCAGCATTCTCCAACCTACTTTATAGTTCTGTCAAATTGTTGTTCATTCTTCGCATGTCTATCTCCATTTCTCCGTGTATTGTGTACTTTGGTATAACTCTTTTCCTTTGGCCTTGAGGATTCCAGTTGACAGCTTGTCTTGTGACGTAGTTGGGTGCTTTCCTCAATATGTGTTTTATCCACCTCCAGCTCTCTTTCTTAATTTCCTCTTCATCTAGAATCTGATTTGTTCTTCTCCAACAGTAGGTTGTTGCCGATGGTGTTCGGCTAACGAATCCGAAGTATTTTGCGTTGACAACTGTTAATCAATAATTGAAAATCATGAGATAAATAGCTAAATTGATCAAAATCATGCAGTATGAATGAGAATATGAAAGACTGCTTGCTGGGAGTATGCTTTGAAAATATAATGCTGAAATTTGAAATTCGTGTGAAACTTAAAGGCGAATGCTTTTGCACCAATGATGAACAATCCTAAATCATGTCATTTAATATCTCCAATCTATGGTCATGGTTATCATGCGGGCCCTGAGTTCGTCTTCACCTACCGACATGCCCTAACTTCATGGACTGGTGCTATGTCTTAGTTTTTCCGTCTCTAGCTTTCTTCTAACTTCCTACACTATCAAACATCATGCCTCTAGGTAGGTGGTGGGGTTGGGCTTGTGTAACAGATAAATTGCCTATGGTCTCTTGCCAGCCATATCAAACCACTATACATCCGAAAGTAGTGCACGCAGTCTCAAGTTACTTAGACTAGTATTTCCCTGCTACTGTAGTGAAGGAGAACACAGGTGAGGGCAACCGAATTGTATTTATCGCAAATTGCAGAGTTACTCAGTAAAATAGGAAAACCATATCGTAAACAGTTAATTTGCAAATCTTCAATCAATCATCAATCCATTGTCTGACATTTCACTCACTATTCATGCGTTTCATACAAATTCCATTGTGTTCCCACTCTTCCTTTCTTGATCTTCCCCCATCTTCTTCACTCGCGTCATATACTACTTATAAGTAGTGCGCACCACACTACAACTTGACCGATTGAATTTTTTAGACACCAATGCACTAGACGAACACAACACTAGTCACTTTATTATATTCAGTGACGAATCGATGAATAACATGAATTCTTCCTTTTTCTTTAATAAAACTGATCAATTTGAGATTCTTCTTAATCTTTCCGTTCGTTTTTTGTTTTCAATTGTCTAGCAAAATTTTCAACCTGACAAAATTGGCATTGTATATCAGGGATTTTTTAATTTATTAGATGAAGTACTACTACCATCATTAAGTTTAATCGATGCCAATTGTTGTTTAGCTGAAGAGATTTGGCAAATGTTACGATTTATGCCATATGAACATCGGTAAGTTATAATTTGTGTGTGTGTATGTGTATGTGTGTGGATGTGTTGTGTTATCCAACTACTTATATTATTATTCATTGAAATCACTAATCAAACCTGAAAGATGGTCGTTTCATCCTATAGTATAGGACTCATCAATGGCAATGCGCATCCACGACTCCTGCACGTCGCAGGATTCGAACCAAGGACCTATGGTCTTGCGCGTAAACGCCTAGCCGGCATCCAAAGGTGTTCATGTCTAACTCTGATCAATCTAGAGATTTTGTTGCGACCTCACCCATATGTCTTTGATAGTTACTGCTCTACATCCGATAGGGTTGAACTCCACTGTTCACGTCACAATGATTGATTGACTGATTGATTGATGATTTTTAATGTGTAAAAAAACACTAATCTCCATAACTCTAATTGTAAATACTTATTATTCCTTTTGATTTATTCGATCGATAACATAAACTACGATCATATAGTTAGTTTATGTCGTATGTGTTTGTCAGTAAACGACAATGAATATTTAATGTTAAGAAATTCGGTCGTGATAGTGGGTGGGGGGTGGTTTATAAAACCTCCTCTTCCCATTCTGGCTATGATTCCCATCCTACTTAAATTTATTCCCTTTTCATTCATAATATACTACTAATAAAACAGAGTTTAAATGTAAGAAGTAATTGTGTAGGTTTATGTATTTTCGTTATATGTGTATTTTTGTGTGTTTAGAGACAATGGGGTTTTTTTTTTTCATTTTAAAAGTTTCCGGGAAATAAACTTGTATGAGATTGTTTGAAGTTACCAGATTATGTTGTGTAGATGATTTGATATTGATCTGGTTTATACAGACTAAATGAATTTCCGATCGCTTTGGTCAACAATGAAGGCATATTTGTGAATCGATTTCTCTCTGTACAAATGCAGACTGTTGCTTAAGACTGATGTATGTAACACTTAGACTGATTCTAGGGAGTAAAGTAGTTGAATGCGTTGATCACTTTACTTATCCTGGAAATCTCATCATCCACGCTAAGTTTGTAGCTGACGACATCTTGTCATAGATGATTAAGTAAGGTCATTTGGCTTTTAAGTACTCAGGTCAGCTATGATGTAGAAGAGATACTGGTCTGCCACCATGTGTATCTCACAATATCTGTGAAACATAATCTATAAAAGGCGAGGAGGACATTGGTTAGTGAGTGTGTTAGTATTAGATTCTCGGTATCTCCGAAAGATGGACATGTAATGTTGGCTAGTGTAGGAATTGTTCAAAAGGAAATCTAGTCGACAAGGTACCGACATATATATATATATGGAGGGGGGCATCAGGTTCATGAAACCATTGGCTGTTGAACTAAGATATGTGAAAAAGTTTCGAATCGGTTAAATTATCTATCGCGGACATTCAGTTTGTTAAATCTAGAACTTTTAGTAACGGGACTATCACTACTCCATGTTGATGATTCAACCATCAAAAAACTAACATTATATATCACCATCTTATGTATTCAAACGATTACATTGGTTTTCTCAATATTTTTTTTTCACAACAAAAGTTATCGACTTTATGGCCAATGGAAACATTTTAGTATTCAAACAGAACCTAGTCTAATACGTCGACGTGCTCAAGTAATGTGTTATGCTAAAGCAATTATGAAGTAAGTATATTCTATATTCTATTCTGTTTAGTAGCTTTATTGATAATTAAGTGAAGGAGTTTATTTTTTTGCAAATTTCAAATGTGTTCTAAGGTTTACAAATTGATAATATATTAGAGTCTACTATGACATGGCTCAAAACTGTTTGCAATGGCTCAGGTTCATTCATTCATTCATTCATTCCTTGTGTGTTCTCTCTGAATCCTAAAATTTTTCACTAGATTCTACTTCTTGAACAATATCATCAAACCCCTTATTATCATTCGATTACTGCTAAAATGTCTACTACCAGCTCTACTACTATTGGATTTGAATTGACAATTACATCTCTCTCTGTGCTAATGTTGTATGGCAATATGCACTGATGTACTTACGTACATACGAAGTTCTACATTGCTATTGATTGGTTGATTGGACTGATTGACAGTCTACGATGCATCATAGTCTTTGTACTACGAGCTGATAGCATAGTAATTAAATAGTCTAGATTTTTTTAACCATTTAGTTATTTGTTCAAACTAGGCTACTTCGTCTAGTTGAGTTTGAACAAGCTAGTGGTAGTGTAGTGAACGAGAACACAGGTGAGGGCAACCGAATTGTATTTAGCGAAAATTACAGAGTTACTCAGTAAAATTGGAAAACCATATCGTAAATTGTTCATTTACAAAATATCAGTTCATCATATCGAACTAGACTGTTCCTGTTGCAAAACATCAATCCATTGTCACTCACTATTCATGCGTTTCATACAAATTCCATTGTGTTCTAACTGTTCCTTTCTTGATCTTCCCCCATCTTCTGCTGCCAGGCATTACGTTGACGCTCACGTCACATACTACTTATAAGTAGCTCGCACCACAGTAGTAGTAATATTAATATAAACTCTCAATCAAATAGTGTGTCTGAGTCAGTCTTACTTAAAGACTACAAGCAATTATATTTACTGTTCATTCTTAAGTACTCTGCAGTAGTTTTTTTTCTAAGAAAGTAGGTCTCAACATATACAAAGGGAAAAGTAAGATTATACAATACAACACAACATGCGCCAACCAAACCACTCTTGATGGAGATGCCTTGGAGGACATTAACACCTTTACATATCTGGGCAGCATCATCGATAACCAAAGGTTGATCCGATGCAGATGTGAGGGCGCGGATCAGTAATGCAAGGGCTGCATTTCTACAATTGAAAGATATCTGGAACTCCAAACAAATATCAATCAACACCAAAATCAGGATTTTCAATACAAATATCAAGACAGTCCTATTGTATGGGGTGGAAATATGGAGAACCACGAAAGCCATCATCCAGAAGATACAAGTGTTTATTAACAGTTGTCTTCACAAAATAATTCGGATTCGTTGTCCAAACACTATCAGCAACAACCTACTGTGGGATAGAACAAACCAGATCCCAGTGGAGGAGGAAATCAGAAACAAGCGGTGGAAGTGGATAGGACACACACTACGAAAAGCACCCAACTGCATCACGATACAAGCCCTCACATGGAACCCTCAAGGCAAAAGGGAAAGAGGAAGGCCAAGGAACATATTACGCCGAGAGATAGAGAACGATATGATAAGAATGAAAAAAAACTGGAAAGAACTAGAAAGGGAAGTCCAGGACAGAGTTGGTTGGAGAAAACTGGTAGGTGGCCTATTCTCCATTGGGGGTAACAGGCGTGAGTAAATAAGTAACTAATCGTCAGGTCTCACGGTGAATTTCTAGTATTTACAATATCTACCATTCGATTCGTCATATATATAGAGTAATAGTCGCAGTAGTAGTCGGGCATCACATTCTGTTACATGATCATCAACTTCTACTACTGTTCTGGCAATTCAACACTAGAACAGGATAATTGTTGAATACTACTTGAGACGGTAAAAGATGAAAAAAACGGACTCATCTACTTTGTTGATATTTTATTTCCTGGTTCTTTTTATTTTTTCTTCTTCTATTAGACGATTAAGCAAAGAAAATGTCAAACCAATGGGTAGACATCTAGGCAAATTATCACATAGTAATCCAGGCTTATTATTTGATCATGTAAGTTTTTTTTAGATTTTGTTTTCATTAGAGTTTTTCTTATATACAATACCGAAGGTCCCGGGTTCGAATACTGCGAAGTGCAGGAGTCGTGGATACGCACTGCCACTGATGAGTAGTCTCATACTAGGACGAAATGGCCGTCCAGTGCTTCCAGGTTTCTAATGGTGGTCATATAAAAATGATTGATTGATGATTTCAAATGTGTGTAAAAACACAAAACCTCCAGAACTTGTAATTGAAAATATATTGTTTAAGCTTTGATTTCTTATTATTTATAGTGTGTTAAAGAACTTTGTTGCAGGCAATAAATTCACTTACATGTTTCACAGAGTATTATTATTATTTTGTCTAATACGCCTCAAGTTTTTTCGAAGGAGGAACAATCGATCATTAAAATACTTTTTTTTTAAAAAAGTCACTGATTGTTGGGGATATTAGATCCCCAGAACTCATTTGATAAAGGTCCTAATTTCGGATTTTTTGTGTTTTCGCGCATGGGTTGATTGGTTGACCTTGAAATTACATTTCACACCCGGAAAATCCTTTTGTGGCTCTCCGAAGGACGTTTCTATCATGTATAAATAAACTCGATTTGTGTGCTTGTCAACCTCATATTTTGTTGGTGCTTGTAGAATAGACTTTCTAGGCCGTATTAAGATGTTTGATATAGTTTTCAGGGCCTGGGACAATTGTGTGACTGCAACATTTGTCTTCGCTCTCGTTTATCGAGTAATGTGAACTCGTAATAGTTTGAAGCATATCACTGACGGATGATTAAGCATGTTCAGCCACAGTATTAGTAACCGTTAGTAAAAGTTGGAATTTTAATGAGTTATCATATTCATATCTCCAACTGGTTGATCGCTTGGAGGTTATTCTAGAGTTTTGAAAATGTATTTGGAAAAAAATACTGTTTAGAATGAGATAGTTTCACTTTTTAATGAAAGAGTTATAATTTTTTGCATACTACTGTATTGTAGTATTAGTAGTAGATACGAAAGACAATCGCTGCTTTCATATGGAAGGGTCAAGTCCAAACCTAGTCCATCTAGATAACGTATATATACATACATATATATATATATATCGAGGTCGAATTTGAAAGAAAAGATCGCCAAAGTAAATCGATTCAAATTTAAGTGGACTGAAATTGAAATTCCATTTTGAGTTTCACACTGACACTGAGATAAGAATTAAGCCAAAAAAGCAGCCTTTCTGTGATCCGGCAAGTTGTGATTATGTCTATAGAATGCTGTCAGTTAATCGCGTCGAAATTTTTACGAATAACAAAGAACTAGATTGAAAACGTTGCAGTGATAGATCATACAAGATGTAGTTTTACTTTGGAAAATCATGCTGCGAATTAGCGATGAGTAATTCAATGGTTAATCGGTCAGTCTTGTATTCTGTTACGTGTTGGGGGTGGATGTCTTTTCCTGGGTGCCCACACCGTGGAAGGGTGTTTCTTGAGGAACCTGAAAAAGAAGTTAGATTAGAGTTCCACTCTTCAAATAGCCTTACTGCCGGAAACGGAAATCTGTAAGGTCAGGTGAGATGTGACGTTTGCAGGGTTGACCTTTTCTAACCCATTCCTTCCTTGTAGGAAGGCAGCATCGCTGCAGATGCTGGTTGTCCGAGTTAAAAAAAAAACCTGTTACACCCCTCTACAGTCAATTTCTGCTTTTATTGTCATCATCCTGTGGTCGACCTGCCTGGCATGGTAGAACCTACAGGAACACATGTCCCAGCCGATATAGCTCGGTTGGGTGATCACGATAGGGAAGCCCGACCTCCACGTCAATGTAGCAGCTACGGTCGGGTAGGTGATTTGGAGCTGAGGTCGACTTAAGTTTGTCTCACAGATGGTATTTATTGAAAAGACCCCGTTATCATGAATTCGGCAACACCGCTTATTTTGAAATGCTCTTTTTGTCGTAAATAGTAATTTTATATGAGGATATACAAGCATTTTAGAATGTAACGGATACAGCAATTAACTGGTTGGTATTTTTTTTTCATTTGTTTGGCGGTTGATTATTAATCAAATCGGAATAAGCTAAAAAAAAAGAGACTGTTTTCGGTAACAGATATACTGTCATGAGTTATTCGGAAGGTTAACTACGTTAAGTATTGTCTTCCAACACTTGAGAAGGTCGAACTCCACTGGTCATGGTTTTCACCAGAACTCGCTAATAAAACTAATCACCAGTGAGCTCAATAGATGAGGTTGCTCAATATCAGGAATCGATTAAAGTTAAGCATTAGCACCGTTGGATGCCGGCTCACTTGTCTGGAAGTTAAGCGTTCGCACTCAAGACCGAATGTGCTGAGTTCGATCCCCACACGGGAAGGGGTCGTGGATTCGCACTGCTGATGAGTCCCATACTAGGAGGAAACAGCCGTCCAGTGCTTCATAATTTCAATGAAAAAACGAACATATTCCTCTACAGAAATTAACATAATTACTGTTACTATTCCCAATTACGAAATAGTGATAAATTCTATTGAGGATTGATGTGAATTATAGTTGGCTTACATACATACATACATACATAACATGACGAATTTCTATCTTTTCCTGTGTGTGTGTGTATGTCACATGATTTCCCATATGATTTCGACAATTCATCAAATTCACACTTTCTTATCTGCTTTCATCACTAGTGTTTTCTCTACTTCATTTATTAAAAAAATCTATTTTTTTTATTTATTTAAAATTCTTAATTATATGTTAACACTGTTGTTTTACATGTCGTATCAATTTCAACATCCATCCATCTAAACCAATCTTTATACATACCTATGACACATACACTCTTCATCATATACACTCGCCAGTTTTATCTTCTCGTTAATTATGTCGTTGTTTTCTTTTTTCTTTTATTTTCTTTTTTCTCTGATTCTCTCCTCCATCTCCTCTATTTGTTAATCCATTCATTCTATAGAATACGTACTACTGATTTCTCACTTATACCTCACTTCCACTCTCTCCCACTCTCTCTCGCTTACTATCATACATTTCTATATGTTTTTCCCTTTTAAAAAAGAAATGAAAAATCATGTACATTCCAAGTCAACTTGAATGTTTCATCTTGTCAGAACAAATCATCTGTTCTTGGCATGTATATATATATATATATATATAATCCCCAGTTGTGTTGGATTATATATGATAAGAACATGGGTTTAATAATAATAATAATGTGTGGTGGTCATGTTGTTATTCATACCAATGAATAAAAAATCATGAAAATTAACTACAAACCTAATTAAATATAAATTACACATTTTTAAAACCATGAATCGATTAATGTTAGACCATCATTAGAACCTGGAAGCACTGAAAGGCGGCCGTTTCGTCCTGGTATAGGACTCATCAGTGACAGTGCGTATCCACGAATCCTGCACCTCGCAGGATTCGAACCCAGGACTTTCGATATTGTGCGTGAATGCCTAGCCATCGGACCACTGAGTCGGTATCTAACGTGAATTGATCAAGTTAGACATTAACACCGTTGGATGCCGGCACAGTGATCCGATGGTTAGGCGTTCGCGCACACTACCAAAGGTCCCGGGTTTGAATACTGCGAGTTGCAGGAGTCGTGGATGCGCACTACCACTGATGAGTCCCATACCAGGACGAAACGGCCATCGATTGTGCTTCCAGTTTTCTAATGGTGGTGTAACAATGATTAATTGATGATTTCAATTGTGTAAAAACACTAATCTCCAAAGCTCTAATTGAAAAAAATCATTCTTTTATTCCCTCAATGTGGTTGTAGTGAATGCTTCGTTACTTTATTTCATTATTATTATTATTATCTCATTCTAAATGATTTCTACTTGTGTTTGTGTGTGTGTGTGTGGTATTTGTATGTCATCCTCCCCTAATTCCATATCCTGACTGAACAACTAATCAACACACACCTCTGATTGATTTGTTGACAAAGAGTTGTAGGGAAATTTCTATTGTTTTTATTTTGATAAATGACTTGTATCGAAGAGTTCAGAGTAATTTTTTGTGATCCAGATATTTAATAATAAATTAAGAAGTAAATTATTGATAATATTTGTTTATTGGAAACTTTGAAGTCAATCTTTCAAGATTGATTGACCCTATTGTCATAACATAATTGCAGTGATCATTAACAAATATATATATATATATATAGATATATATATGGTTTTGGAGATTGAGTTACATTTTGTAATCATCAATCAGTCATTGTTAGACCACCATTCGAAACGTGGAAGCACTGAAAGACGATCGTTTCATCCTGGTATGGGACTCATCTGCAGTGCGCATCCCCGATTCCTGCATCTCACAGGATTCGAACCCAGGTCCTGTAGTCTTGCGCGCGAACGCCTAACCTCTGAACCACTGAGCCGGTATCTGCTGATGAGTCACATGAAAGGACGAAACAGCTTCTAGTGCTTCCAAGTTTCTAATGCTGGTCTAACATTGATCGACTCATGATTTCAAATATATATATATGCTTACAAACCTGGTTTAAGCTTCGGAGATTCTCTTCTCGTCCTCTCAGTTTCGTAAACAACACCACCGCCACCAGAAGGCAATGAATAGAACGTGTTTACGAGTGGTTATATAAGAGCATTTTCAGAGAGAAAGCAGATACTCCCCTCTCTCGAACGTATCACCGTATTCTGGGAACCAATGACCAATCTTGAAAGTGAAATGTCTAATGGGAAAAACGATTTTACATTATCTTAATTAATGAATGAGTGCTGTCATAGTTCATCAGTTTTATAGACGTTAATTCCCAAACTGCTTATGTTCTGGGTTATCTAAGTCATACTATGCAATTGCCTTAAGCCTTATGTTGATAAGCCTCAGTTTGATTTCCTTACTTACTTACTTATGCCTGTTAACTTCAATGCAGCATAAGCCGCTGACCAGCATTCTCCAACCTACACTGTCCTCGTCCTTTCTTTCTAGTTCTTTCAATTTTTGTTCAATCTTCCCATGTCTGTCTCCGTTTCTCGGTTTAAAATATTCCTCGGCCTTCCTCTACTCCTATGACTATGACGGTTCCAACTAAGGGCTTGTCTTGTGGCGCTGTTGGCTGCTTACCGCAATCTGCGTCCTATCCACCAACTTCAGCGCTTCTTCCTGATTTCTGCCTCCACTGCAATCTGATTTATTCTATCTCCCTAGAACATAATACTTGGCTACGAACTCACCCAACTATGTATAAATCTTGCTTATATTATTTTCATTTAAATATCTTATCCATTTCAAATTTCTCTTATAAATCTCTTTCAATTTTTTTTATATCACATTGACAGGTATTGCATACAATTCAATTATTTACCAATCTTATCAATCCAGTTGTAGAAGCATTGAAATATGTTAGTAGTTTAGGCTATGATATGTTAACATGTAAGTGAATAATCAAGTCACTCGTCATTGTTTGTTTGTTTTTTTTTCTGTTATTCTCTTGATTTATTTATCCATTTATTTGTTATTATTTTTGTTATTTAATTGTTTGTTTTCTTTTTTCATTGATTTTTTCAAGTTTCATTTGTTAACAACAATGGACGACTGTAAATGAAATTTTAATTTGTTTGGCTAATTGATAACAATAATAATAATAAAATCACTTAAGAAATGAAAAAAAAGATCGATCAAGTGTGTGTGTGTGTGTGTCTGCGTGTGTTTGTCTATCTACGTGCAAGTGCATGTGTGTTTGTTGTAAGTATTTAATGAGTTGAGTAAACAATTAGAGAGAAAATTTAACTTTAATGAAGATGATGAATATAAATGCAATTAGATTGTTTGTTTAAATTTTTTGAATAGACTTGTTTGCTTCTTATTGACTGATTTATAGAGCACAGGCCGCTGACTAGCATTCTCCATTTATCTCTGTCCCCTGGGCTTTCTTTTCTAGTTCTATCCAATTGCAGTTCATACTTTTCATTACTGTTTCCAATTCTCGGAGTAATGTGTATTCTTGTGGTCTTCTTCTTCTTCGTTACCCTCAGCCTTGAGAACTCTATCTAAGTGAGGGCTTGTCTTGTGACGCAGTTTGATGATGTCTATAATATGTGTCCCTTATCCACCTCTAGCAATCTTTCTTGATTTCTTTCTCTACTGAGAATCTAGTTTGTTCTCTGCTACAGTTTAGTCAGTCAGTCAGATGCAACGTAGAACTTCGTACATCAGTTCATGTCGCCATACCACATAAGCACAGAGATGTAATTGTCAATTCAAATCCAATAGTAGAAGAGGTAGTAAAGGCATTAGAAGTTTAGGATGCTGCTGGATAAAGAACGAGGTTTAGAAATATGGTTAGCAATCCCACCGCATAGAAAACAACCTCATAAAAATGTAAACTCTAATCAGATACTATCAACATTACTTTTATGAATTACTATAAATTCATGGAGATGATGAATACATCTATGATGTTATCGATTCTCTAGCATAATATCGAACTGAAGTTGCATTAGATTGAAGAAATGAAAGACAGGCAAATACAACGCAGAACTTCGTACGTACGTACATCAGTTCAGGTTGCCATGCCCCATCAGCACAGAGATGCAACCATTAGTTCAAATCCAACAGTGATAGCAATAATAGAAGTATTAGCAGTAATGGAGAAGATTAGGGAGCCAAGATATTATTCAAGAAGTATAATCTAGTGAAATAAATCTAGAAAGAGAAAAACAGAGGCGATGAGGAATTCAGAAGATTAGAATTTCAGGGAACACAAGAAGTGAATGCACCTGCGCCATTGCAAACGATTCTCAGCCATGTCTTCAAAGTCTTTATCCACCGGTGACTATCGTCTCGCGGACCCCAACCAGGTAGCCTATGTATACCGACATGACTCAGTCCAGTTGTCAGTGACTTCATGCATTTGTGCCATGTTTTGGTTTGGCCACCTCTAGCTTTCTTCCAACCTGCTCCTACACCACAATACATAGCTCGTCGAGGCAGTCAGTGGTTAGTCAAACACATGTCCCAGCCACCTCATCTGATGAAGTTCCATTAATTCATCTATTGATCTGCCATCATTACCTAGAACTCGTTTCCTAACGACAGCATTGCTTATACGGTTGTCCCACGATACACGAGCAAAGTATCAATAAAACATGTTTCGGATACAGTTCTGTCTTTCTAAGTGCAAAATATTGGATACTTTGACCACTTTACTTATCCTGGAAATCTTATCATTCTCACTAAGTTTGTAGCTGATGAAGTGTTGTCATGGATTTTGTCAGCTTTCAAGAACTCAGGTTAGCTGTGACTTAGATGAAATGCAGATTTGATAACGAGAGAAAAAGTATACTGCTTAGCCATCGTCCACCATGAGCATCTCACAATGTCTACGAAACATAATCTGTAAAAGTCGAGGAGGACATTGGATAGTGTACTACTGTAGTGAAGGAGAACACAGGTGAGGACAACCAAATTGTATTTAACGAAAATTACAGAGTTACTCAGTAAAATAGGAGAACCGTATCCTAAACGGTTAATTTGCAAATCTTCAATCCATTGTCTGACATTTCACTTATTCATGCGTTTCATACAAATTCCATTGTGTTCCCACTCTTCGTCCTTTCTTGATCTTGCCCCATCTTCTGCTGCCAGACATTACGTTTTCACCCGCGTCATATACTACTCATAAGTAGCGTGCACCACACTAGTAGTATTAGATGATTGATATATCGGAAGTATTTTCTATCTATAATGGGACCCATTTAGTGAGTAATTGTCATGTCACAGGCTCGAGTAGTAGGTAGATATATATAATTAATCAGCTGATGAATGTGTAATCTTTTATGTACTGAGTTGTTTGTTTGTTTGTTAATTTCAAAGAAAAACGTTAATATTTCTCTATTCAATGTAAATAAAACTGGAACTACAATTGACACAGCATAATATAAATTTGTTATCTATTTCCTAGTTTTTTACAAGCCGCTTACAATCAATTATAGTAAACTGTAACAATGTGATGCGATATAATGCGAAGTAATTGGTATTGATGAACTGAACGAGTGTGATCGTTTGATGACGGTGTTCAACAAACAAAAGCGGCTATGAGACAGTAATTGTATACAATCAAGGAAAACAGATCAACTGGATTATGTGATCATTCTAAAAAGATTTACATCGATCCATTTGACATCATAAGTTGGTCATTAAAGGGAATTACGTAATAAGTAAACAATATTTGAAAAGATTTACAACCTTTTTAAGAAAAATAAATAAACGAAGAGATAATTTCAGCGTACATAAAAGAATCATTCTTGTAGCGATGATTACATAACTAGTTGAACACACATACAAATAATGATAACACTAATAATAATAACAATTTTTGAAACCATGAATCGATCAATGTTAGACCACCATTAGAAACCCGGTATGGGACTCCAGAACGAAACGGCCGTCCAGTGCTTCCTGGTTTCCAATGGTGGTCTAAAATTGATCGATTCAGACAGACAGACAGATACAACGCAGAACTTCGTACATAACTACAGCAGTTCAAGTTGCCATACCACGACATTAGCACAGAGACGTAACTGTCAATTCAAATCCAAGGGTGATAGAAATAGTAGAATTATTAGCAGTAATGGAGAAGATTAGGGAGCATTGATCGATTCATGGTTTCAAAAATCTTCACAACTCCGTAATGCAAATAATAATTTTGTCATATTGGCCTTAAAAACAGCACAAAATCATTGTTTTATTTTCTGCCAACTGTTAAGTTTCAGCTGTCATTGAATTAACCAAAAATAAACACGCATCTTTCTAGGTGAATTCGTTTCTTTTTTCTTTTTCAAAAAATTAGGGCGTGCAAATTTTTTTTTTACTGATGTCTGTGATCAACTGATTGATGAAATACAATTTCAATTCCTTTTTGAATTAGGTAATTTAGGTCAGTCAGTTAGTCAGTTACAACGTACAACTTCGTACGTAGGTACATAAATTCAGGTTGCCATCACCACATTAGCATAGAGAGATCAAATTTTCAATTTAAATCCCATAGTAGTAGAGGTAGAGAAGTATTAGCAGTATTCGGAGAGATTACGGTTCGAAGATAATATTTGAGAAGTATAATCTAGTGAAATAAACTTAAAAAGAGAAAGACAAAGGTTTTGAAGAATTCAAAAGGGAACACAAACAGCGAATGCACCTGCGTCATTGCAAACCATTTCGAGCTATGTCATTCAAAGTGTTTGACCATCGATTACTATCGTCCCGTGGACCTCAACCAGGTAGTCGACACCTACCAACATGACTCAATCCAGTCGTCAGTGACTTCATGGATTTCTGCCATGTTTTGGTATGGCCGCCCCTAGCTTTCTTCCAACCAACTCATACACCATAAAACAGCGCCCGTCGAGGCAGTCGGCGGTTGGGTATACGTAACACATGTTCCAACCACCTCAACTGATGAAGTTTCATCACTTCATCTATTGATCTGCCATCCTTACCTAGTACTCGTTTCCTAACGACATTATTGCTTACTTGATAGTCTCCAAGATAAACGAGCATTGTTTTTTTGGAGACACGGATGATCGACAACCCGTAACCTACTAATATCTTTTACTCTGACTGGCCATTTTTTCGCAGTCATAAAGTAGGATTGTCGTTTGTTTTTTTGTTATTTCAACGAGCTATTCCTTTCAAATATTGTTCATGTGTTCGCTTTCTATGTGTGTTTCTCTGTTCTGCATTCTATTTCTATTCACAGTTTGTATTATTGAAGAACTTGCCTCAGATCAATCAAAGTTGGAAGATTTACAATTAAGTCAAGGATTACAAGGTAACGTTGATTAGTTCATTTTAGTTCGTGTTCTGTTTATTTTTTGTTTGTATACATGTGACTAGTTTTATTTTTGTGAAGAAAGTTTATTATTCCTCCCCCAAAAACAATCGTTCTACTTTTGATACTACTCAGTCAGTCAGTCAGATGCAACGTAGAACTTCGTACGTAAGTACATCAGTTCATGTTGCCATACCACATCAGCACAGAGATATAATTGTCAATTCAAATCCAATAGTAGAAGAGGTAGTAAGGGGATTAGAAGTAATCGGAGAGGTTAGGATTAGAAGATATTATTCAAGAAGTATGATTCAGTGAGATAAGTTTGGAAAGACAAAACTAGAGGTGTTGAAGAATCCAGAAGATTAGGGTTTGAGAGAACACAAAGAATAAATGCACCGGCGCCATTGCGAACGATTTTGAGCCATGTCATTCAAGGTCTCTAACCATCGATTATTATCATCTCGCGGACTCCAACCAGGTAGTCTACATCTACCAACATGACTCAGTCCACTTGTCAGTGACTTCATGGATTTCTGGTATGTTTTGTTCTGGCCGCCCCTAACTTTCTTCCAACCTACTCCTACACTACAAAACAAAGTTCGTCGAGGCAGTCGGTGGTTCGGCACACGCAAGACATGTCCCAACCACCTCAACTGATGAAGTTTCAGCACTTCATCGATTGATCTGCCATCCTTGCCTAGCACCCGTTTCCTAACGACAGCATTGCTTACTTGGTTGTCCCACGGTATACGAGCAATGCTTCGAAGACACCTATGATCGAAAACCAGTAACCTACGAATATCTTCTACTCTCACTGGCTATGTTTCACAGCCATATAGGAGAACGGAGCGAACTGCTGCACAGTACACTCGTCCTTTGATCAGAGAACGGATATCATTTCATAGGATTTGAGGTGTGGAGAAGGATTTTTAATTGTGACCAATTTGGTCATGTATGCTGTTATTTAGTATGTGGGCGGATGTCACTTCCCGTCTGCGCGCATCGTGACAGTTTGTTTTTTTATGAAGAAAGTTTATTATTTCCCCCAAACAATTGTTTTACTTTTAATGCTACTAGACTATATATTATTGGAATATCATTTCATAGGATTTGAGGTGTGGGGAAGGATTTGATCTTGTGTGCTTTCATTGGGTATGTGGTTCTATGTCACTTCCAGGCCGCTCATATCGTGAAACGATGTTTGTTGATGAACTTGAAAAGGAAGTTAGACTAGAGTTGACTGTAGCTACCTGGTAGTGTTGACCACAGAGTTCAACAGACAATTGCTTGAAGCCAGTCATCCACTTCGCAAGATCCGAACCACAGGACCTTTGGTTTTATGCGCGAACACCTAATATTTGAACCACTGTACCGGCAACCAATCAATTGTGTTATTTATTTTCAACATTACTCCAAACAATAAACTTTTTTGTATGGGCAAGAATAATTCTTTAAAGTCAACATACTAAGTATAAAACTCATCATCAGTGGGTGAATAGCATCCACTGTGGTGCGCGCTACTTATAAGTAGTATATGACGTGAGTGTCAACGTAATGTCTGACAGCAGAAGATGAAGGAAGATCAAGAAAGGAAGAGCAGTAACACAATGGAATTTGTATGAAACGCATGAATAGTGAAATGTCAGGCAATGGATTGATGATGGATCGAAGATTTGCAAATTAACCGTTTACGATATGGTTTTCCTATTTTACTGAGTAACTCTGTAATTTTCGTTAAATACAATTCGGTTGCCCTCACCTGTATTCTCCTCCTTCACTACACCACGACCTTGAACGTAGGAACTCTCATCGTGAATTGATATTATTTATCACTTTCTCACATAGAATTAATCAAATCAACCATTTTAATTCTGTATTTTTTTAATATTTTTCTCTTCTTGTCTCTCTTCTTCATTAGCATTGTCATCATTTACGGGATTATTATGCCGTAAATATCAATTCGATTTAGCTGGTCTATTACAATATGTATTAAATCAATTGAAAGTTGGTAAAAGGTTAGTTTTTCAAACAAAAAAAATATATTCGTGTGTGTTTTATTTTTACATGTGTTTGACGATGTGTAGTTTTTTTCTGTTGGTTTGATTGAACTTCTAATGACTGATCTTTCTTCATATTAGATCAGTTTTAAGTTGTTTATATATTCTTTGATATTCTTTATTGATAAAATTAAAAATATGTTGGGTGATAGGTGTAAACTAACCTGGCTGGTGTCCGCGAGACGATATCAGTTGATGGTTACTGACCTTGAAAGATATGGTTTATAATCGTTTGCACTCTTTGTGCTCTCTGAAATTCTAATCTTCTGAAATCCTCATCACCTGTTTCTCTTTCTAAAGTTATGTCATTAAATTATAGTTCTTGAAAAAAAACTTTCGAACCCTAATCTTCTCCACTACCTGTACTACTTCTACTCTCTCGACGACTTTGTGATTTGAAATGACAATTGTGTCTTTGTACCAATGTGATATGGCAACCTGAACTTATGTACGTACGTACGAAGTTCTACTTTATAACCAACTGCATATATATATATATATATATATATATATATATATATATATATATATTTGATGGACACGTCATGACGTAATAACAGTAATCCTCATATTATTATCACTAATAATATAGAGATTCTGTCAAGATCCCATATAGTCGTCTCATGGGTATATCCTATCCAAAGTGTTGAACTAAAGCTTAAGTGGTTGTCTCAATGCTACCACTGTACGGTTTTTATTTGATTTTCTTCAGCTGCTTTCAATTGATTATACTTTGGATAATGATTAGAACGTGAATCGACAATAAATATTTTTGTATACTAATTTGGACTCATCAACTTAATTGAGCTTTATCTCAGTCAGTCAGTTACAACGTAGAACTTCACACATATGCACGTACATATATCAGTTCAATTTGCCATACCGCATTAGCATACAGACGCAATTGTCAATTCAAATCCTATGGTAGTAGAGGTAGTAGAAGAATTATCAATGATCAGCGAGATTAGGGTTCGACAATATTATTCAAGAAGTAGAATCTAGTGAAATAGACTTAAAAAGATAAAGATTAGGATTTGAGAGAATGGTTAGAACTCTAATTAAAAATAAATATTTTTATATCAATTAGGACTTATTAAGTTAATTGAGCTTTATCTCAGTCAGTCAGTTACAACGTAGAACTTCGAACGTACATCAATTCAGGTTGCCATCACCACATTAGCATAGAGAGATCAATTTTTCAATTTAAATCTCATAGTAGTTGAGAGATAGTAGAAGTATTCGCAGTAATCGGAGAGATTACGATTCGAAGATATTATTCAAGAAGTATAATCTAGTGAAATAAACTTAAAAAGGAAAAGACAAAGGTTATGAGGAAATCAGAAGATTAGAATTTGAGAGGACACAAAGTTTATTTATATTTCGATAAATACAATATTCCTACTTATTGAAACTTTAATTCGTTTGATTGGTTGGTAATAAAATTATACAACAGTCGATTGACATGATTAAAGATAGTTTGTTTATTTCATTGCATGAGTACAAATAATAAGAATAATAATCAGTGCATGTGATAACTTTTATCAATCAGTAATTATCCAGTAACAATTATATTTACTGCACTGAAAAACCGATCGAAGTTATATCATTCAGTCAGTCAATCAACAACAACATAGAGCTTCGTACGTATGTACATCAGTTCACCACCATACCACATTTGCACACACAGATGCAATTATCAATTTAAATCCCATAGTAGTAGAGGTAGAAGAAGTGTGATAATAATCAGAGAGATTGGGGTTTGAAAATATTATTCAAGAAGTAGTATCCAATGAAGTAAACTTAAAAAGAGGAGATGAGGAATTGAGAAGACTAGAATTTGAGAGAACACCAAAGAATGAATGCCTTTGCGTCATTGCAAACGATTTTGAGCCATGTCATTTAACGTCTCATTTAACCATCGTTTACTATCATCTTGCGGGCCCCAGTGAACTTCATCTAAGTTTTATTCTTCATATATTAAGCTCATATCTGTTGTCGTTAATCACTACCAGTTATGATTGATTTGTCTTCTTCTTATAAAAAAACATAAAAAGAGCTCACATGATGATAACAACAGAAACTCCACATATAAAACCTTGTCATGAATTATTAATTAAAAAAACAGTTTCTCATAGTTATATATAAGTCAATGAATGCTAGTAGTTTTTTTTGTGATGACAGTTGTCGTCCGTCGCGTTGAATTTGGTTTTTTTCTTTTCTCAAACATCTCATATCGTCACTATATATATATATATATATATATATATATATATATATATATATATATATATATATATATATATATATATATGAATTGTGGCTGTCCACTAACATACATACAATTCCTAACAAATTGGATTTTCTTATCTTTCTGTGTAGTAGTAGTTTTTTCTTTGTTTTTTTTCTGACTATTATGCTTCAATGATATTCATAATCAGAATCAGAATAATCTAATAAATATATAAGTGTACTACTACTCATCATCATCATCATTACTATTCTTACCACCAAATTAATAAATTATCCAATGCTCCGTCTCTCTCTCTCTCTGTCTCTCTTTCTCTCTATGCAATTGACTAGTTGTGTAACAAGTGTTCATTTTGCTTTGATTTTTTTTTACGATACTATCCGTGTAGCAGTGTTGATTATTGTCAGTAGGAGTTGGTTAGTTGGTTGGTTGGTTGGTTGGTTAGTTATCAATGATTTCAGTGTGAGAATAATTCAAATTTAAAAAAATGTTTTTTTTTTCGTTTTCTTGAAAAATAGAAAGAGACAAGATAGTAATCATAATAATTATAATAAAGCTAGGGGCGGCCAGACCAAAACATGGCAGAAATTCACTGACAAGTGGACTGAGTCATGTTGATAGATTTAGACTACCTGGTTAGGGTCCGCGAGACGAGAGTCATCCATCAATGGTTAGAGACCTTGAACGACATGGCTCAAAATCGTTTACAATGGCGCAAGTGCATCCATTCGTTGAGCTCTCTCAAATCCTAATCTTCTGGATTCGTCAGCACCTCTACCTTTGTCTTTCTAATCTTATTTCACATAATTATACTTCTTGAATAATATCTTCAAACCCTAGTCTTCTTCATTACCATTAATACCTCTACTATCTCTATTATCACTATGAGATTTGATTTGACATTTGCGTCTCCATGCTAATGTGGTATGGCAACATAAACTGATGTTTGTACGTACGGAGTTCTACATTGCAACTGACTGGAATAATAATAATAATAATTATTATTATTGTGAAGTAGTTGATCGTGTTGATCGCTTCACTTATTTAGGGAGTTTCATTAGTGTTGATGGCCTACTGACTGATGATATTTCAGCATGGATACAGGAGGCTTGACTGACTTTTGCCAACTTGCATCACTTATGGCGTAGGCGAGGTATTCGTTTGCCGAATAAACGACGAGTGTACTGCGCAGTAGTTTGCTCCGTCCTATTTTATGGCTGTAAAATATGGCCAGTGAGAGTAGAAGATATGCGTAGGTTACTGGTTTTTGAGCATAAGTGTCTCTGAAGCATTGATCGTGTATCGTGGGACAACCGAGTAAGCAATCCAGTTGTTAGGAAAAGAGTAATATGCAATCAATAGATAAACTGGCGAATATCCATCAGTTGAGGTGTTTGGAACATGTTTTATCTATGCCCAACCACCGACTGCCTCGTCGAGCTATGTTTAGTGGTGTAGGAGTAGGTTTTAAGAAAGCTAGGTGTGGCCAGACTAAAACATGGCACAAATCCATGAAGTCACTGACAAGTGAACTGAATCATGTTAATAGATGTCGACTACCTGGTTGGGGCCCGCGAGATGATAGCAATCGATGGTTAGAGACCTTAAATGATACGGTTGAAAACCGTTTGCAATGGTGCAGGTGCATTCATTCTTTGTATTCTCTCAAATTCTAGTCTTCTCAATTCCTCATCTCCTCATTTTAAGTTTGTTTCATTAGATCCTACTTCTTTAATAATATCGTCGATTACTATTAACATTTCTACTACAAGCTCTTCTACTATAGGATTTGAATTAACAATTGCATCTGTGTGTTCAAATGTGGTATGGCAACTTGCACTGAACTGATGTACATACGTACGAAGTTCTATGTTGTTGTTGACTGACTGACTGATATAACTTCAATCGGTTTTTAGTGCGGTAAATAAAATATAACTGGTTAATTACTGATTGATAAAAGTTATCACATGCACTGATTATTATTATCTGTACTCATACAATGAAATAAACAAAATATCTTTAATCATGTCAATCGACTGGTATATAATTTTATCACTAATCAATCAAACGAATTAAAGTTTCAATAAGTAGGAATATTGTATTTATCGAAATATAAATAAACTACTCAAAGATTGATGGGTTAACGGTTTTTTTAGCGAGTTAGTTTTTCTGTGGGATGGGGTCGTCAACCTCACGCCCAACCCTCCTCCTTTATCCGGGCTTGGGACTGGCAGTAGGCCCAGAGGGGCTCCACGTGGAGTCAAGAATTGATGATTATAATCTAATCTAACTTATCAACCACACTTTGTACTTGTGTTAGAGGGATTACTTGCTACTTACTCAATTGGGTGACGTAGGTAGAGTTTTTTAACTGCGATTTAATAAAAAAATAAGTGAAAATTAGGATTATCAAACTGCACATCATATTCCAATATTCTCTTACTCATAACAAGTTGCATTATTGATCATTTACAGCGTGTATAGTTGATGAATTGTCTTATTGAAAGTTGATACATTTCTTAACAAATGTTGATATTTCCTTTTTTTGGAGGATTGTTCAATAGAGAAAGATACTGAACTTTGAGTTATAGGATCATAGGTTGAGATATCTTACTCACTGGTTATGTCAGTGTTACTGTCATTTAATCGAAATCACTAACATGTATAATTGTTTGACAGATATTCGTGTTCATGATTATTGATTTGTGTTCAATTACAAATGATGAGATCACTTGTTTTTCAATCAAATTAGGAAATTGCGAAGATTATGGTATGTATATCCAAGATAGATGACAGATATTTTACATTGTGCAAAGGATTGTTCTAGAGATAATTTTAACACTCATTTCGTTCATATTAATGTGTTCTGAGTTCAACCCACAACTAAATAATTTATCATATATGGCTTAGAACTGGATAACAACTGGGCTTCAACCATCGTTGTTATGGTTTGAAATACCAATTTATATCACATGTTAAAGTTGTCAGCTTTCAGTACTGTTAGGGGTATAGTGGTGGTTATCACTTTTTCGTCGCTCAAACTGTTAAAGGGTTATTTCTCCTTGAGGGATCTGGAAAAGAAACTGAGCTAGTAGTGGTCATGAATATTTGCGGAGCATGACTGCACAGCCTAGAAGACAACTCTTCAAGGCCAGTCACATATGGCCTGTTTATGATGTTTTTCATAAATTAGTTCTGTACTTCAAAAAGGCCTTAAAGTTCCAGGTAGAGGTCCGTGTGGTAAGGTAGGATGTGAAATTTTATTTTGGATAGATCTTTTCCAACTTCTTCCGTTGTCAGAAGGTAGCAGCACATCACTACAGATACTGGCTGTCTTCTTTGTGAAATATTTTGTCAAAATTAGAACAACACAGATATAAGCGAACAATATTGTTTTCGATTAGAAGATCGTCATCAGGCTGCTTTACTCTAATATACATGAATGTTTATATGAAAATGTTAAACTGATCAAGGCAATTTATGAATCAATAATCACAATGAAATGTAAAAGATTACGTCACTACACATAATATAGGTGCATGTACAAGTTGATAGTAGGAAGACAGTGTACTGCTAGTAGTAGTAAAAAAAAAATAAAAAAATACGATAACAAGAATTTTATCAAAAGTAGGTCAGACGTGGATAAATAGACTTAAAAATAATCATTACGAAGTATTAAAACCATTACGTAATAACAAGTGCGTACACAATTAGATAGTGAAGAATATAAACGGGAAGAGGTAGAAAATTACAAACAAATACAGGATGTGAAAATAATGCTAATAATAATAATAATAATAAAATAAGATTAAAAATTTTTTAAACATTGATTAAGTCATATCCGGTCACGGAAGAGTCTCACGAATTTCTTCTGAACACGTAACTTGGGGGTTGAATGTACGAATTCCTATGGCTTCTGCTGTATGTGAGAGACAGGATCGAACTCCGTCGGGAAATGATGGAGATATACGAGATAGATCACTCAAAATGATCTGGACTTATCTACAATATGACCGCTATCAACCAGATGGAACTGTATGCTGTTTTTAACTGGCCCTCCATACACCATGGTAGGAAGTGTTCACTCATTCGTTGGTTAAGTTGCCTACACAGACAAACTTGCGTTGACTTTCTCAAACGAAGGATAAATTGCCTGAGTTGGCCTCCTCTATGTGTATTTACAAATTCAGCTGGTCCTGTGGGGATAGTTATATCAAGTGTACTATCAGTACATCTGTCGTCCTACTATCAACTTGTACATTTACCTATATGATGTGTAGTGACGTAATCTATTTCATTTCATTGTGATTATTGACTCATAAATTGCCTTGATCAGTTTAACATTTTCATATCAATATTCATGTATATTAGAGTAAAGCTTCATGACCCATCGAATCGAAAACAATAATATTGTTCGCTCATATGTATTGTTGTTCTAAATACTTTGTCGCTGTCACAACTCTTTCCTGTCATCACTACAACTTCTATTTCAGATCTTAATTTACTACTTTTAGTCTGATCGTTTTTTAAAGGACTTGCCCTGACATCGTACAACCAAAATAATCCGACTATCAAGCTAGACCGCTATGTCGATCTAGCAGCTACCGGTCTGTTGTTACATTAAATCCCTTTTTTTTTCTTCTTAAACTGTGTGTGTGCAAAACTGAAACGAAATATTTCAGGAGAAAAAAAATTTTTCTCGTTTATGTATCGTTAAAATAAGAAAAAAAATTGCTACCAGCTGTTCTTATTATGCAACAGATGGCTTACAGACTTGAATAATAGAAGATGGCGGCCATATATATGAGAACTGTGAATGAGTTTTGTACATATTGTTTTTTTTCGTATTTATAATAAGCGCTTATCTTTTGTGTGTATGCATATATTTTTTAATGATTACCTGGGCTATCAGTGATCATTTTAAACAAAATATCTTACTATAAAAAATGATACTCGCCTATATCAACAATGTACAACATTTTTGTTTGTTTGAACAGTTATGATTTAGCAATATTACGTGAAATTCTTCATCGTATGTCCGGTATTGATATCTCAGAAGAAATGACTGAAGAACAATTGGAATCAATGTCTGGTGGTGAATTACTCTTACAAGAAGGTGGTTATTACGCACAAATACGTAATACACGTCGTAATGCTGGACGTTTAAAAGATGCATTGATTGAGCATAATTTAATTATGCCATTTATATTTTTGATGGCACAACAACGTGATGCAATTATATTTCTTGATGATCCAGAACGTCATTGTAAATTAGCTGGACGTTTATATGATCAAGTGAGTGTGTGTGTGTGTTCAGTTTTAATGGGTCTATTTGTTGATTGGTTGATTCGTTTTCAATGGTCCAAACTATTGGTGTCGAGAATGTTAGATCTCCAGAATTCATTTGATAAATGTCCTAATTTTGGATTTTATGTTTTCATGCTTTGGGCTGATCAATTGACCTTGAGATTACATTTCTTACCCGGAAAATCCTTGATTGTTATTGGTTGATGTAGTATTTTAGTACGCTATTTTTATGTTTATCCCAAGGAGGTTTCTATCTTGTGTAAATAAACTGGATTTGTGTTCTTGTCATCCTCATATGTTCTCGGTGCTTGTAGAAGTCACTTTCTATGTCTTGTCAAGACTTCTTCCTCTATTTAGTAGGGGGCCTTGGGACGCTCGGATTAGAGTAGCCTATCGTGTCATTGGATCATTTGTCTTCGCTCTCGTTTAGCGACTAAGGTGAACTCGTAATAGTTTCATGCATATCAGTCGACGAGCATAACATTTGGTAAGATTGACGTTGAACTAATCACCTTAAATTTCAGCTGTTACCCTACTGAACACTCTAAATTAAAGATAGTAATCTAAGATGAGATTGCCTTTATCTTACGTATTATGGAATGTGATACATGTTTTTTCAGGAATTTGGAGCAAAGCTAGTCATTCAACAGTCTCAGTTACCTAATCTCTGATGTAATTACTGAATTTCAGAATTTCGGTGAACTAACTTTATTATACAGAGCTTTTCTGGAGATTATCTTTTCAATTTTCTTTAGAATTAATCCTTAGTTGTATCATTGTTATCTACCCCCGACCGTAGCTGCTACCTTGACGTGGTGAATGCGCTTGCCTATCGTGATGACCCGACCGAGCTATATTGGCTGGAACTTATGTTCCAGAAGGTTCTACCATGTCAGGCAGGTCGATTGGAGAATGGTGAGACTAAAAGCAGCTACTCAAGATCTGAGGGCGAAGTCGTACTATTGACTGCAGAGGGGTGTGACAACAGTAAGGTGTTTCCTTCGGACAACCAGCATCTGCAGCGATGCTGCCTTCTCACAGGGAAGGAAGGGTTAGAAAATGTCGACCCTAAAAATGTCACACCTCACCCTACCTCACGGATTTCCGTCTCCTTGGGTAAGGGTACCCACTAAGGGCTTTCAAGAGGGGAGCTAATACCCAAAAAACCATTCATAAAAAGGCCGTGCGTGATCGTTCTTTGGGCTCTGTGGTCACACTCCAAAGTCTTTAAGACCAACACTAATCTAACTTCCTTTTCAGGTCCCACAAGAAACAACCTTCCACAGTGTGGGCAACCAGGAAGTGACAACTGCTCTCATACCCATAACAGCACGAGAGAGACGGTCATAATTGAATCCTTCCTACACCCACACATACCTCTCTTCTCTCCACAACTAACTCTACTCAGATCTTTCAATAAATAATATTTCATGACTACTACTACTATCATCATTTTGATAGTTAGTTGTAAGCGTAAACCGAATGATTCATGTGTACAGGAGGAGATAGTAATCGCAAGCGTGTATTGTTTGTATATTCTTCTGTACTCATTGTTCTTAGTGTCCTATTTCTGCAGAGTGTAAGGAGAGTCTGTTCCCCCCTCTTGAAATGCGTGTATAGCCACCCATAAACGCGTTCTACTCATTGCCTTCATGTGGCGGCAGTTTTCTTCCGTCTGCTACCCCTAGTGAAGCATAGGCTGCCAACCATCATTCTCCAACTAACTTTGTCCTGGCCCTTCCTTTTCTAGTTCTTTCCAATTGTTGTTCATCGTTCTCCGATTCTCGGCGTAATGTGTTTCATCTCCTGACATAGCTCCACACGGATCGGCGCCACTAGGAAAGCTACTTGCTATGCTTTGGGCATATGTACAGAATCTTAACACATTGACACGAATCCATTGATTTTCGTAACGCATAAAAATATTTTTGGTCTTCAAATATCCCAATGTGTCTATGTAAGGTTTTTCATAGTTAAGAAATTTTTTGTTTACCTGAAACAATGTAGGTTTTCATGGTAAGATTTATCAGTAATAATAAAAATAAATCTATCCATCACTTTGAGTTAGAAAATAAAGCCAATATATGGAGATTGATTCTTAAAAAAAAGGCATTAAATCTCCTTTCACTGTCTAATCTACAATTTTTTTTTAAGAAAAATTAAATTGAATATATAAACTTGTACTTGGTATACAAGTTAATTCCCATGTGGATGATTATATTTATTTATACATGGGTAGCTTAATATGTGGTCTGAATATTAGAACCTTTATGTTTTTATTTAATGTAAACTTTGTTCATCTTGTAGCTTGAAATTATTTTGAAAAGCTAATTCTCTTAGTTTCTATGTATGTCTAACCACCGACTGCCTCGACGAGCTTTGTTTTGTAGTGTAGGAGTAGGCTGGAAGAAAACTAGCGACGCCCAAACCAAAACATGGCAGAAATCCATGAAGTCATTGACAAGTGGACTGAGTCATGTCGGTAGGTGTCGACTACCTGTTTTGGGTCCGCGAGATGATAATAATCGATGGTTAGAGACCTTGAATGACATAACTCAAAATCGGTGCGTTTATTCTTTGTGTTCTCTCAAATCTTAATCTTCTGGATTCTTCAACCCCTCTAGTTTTTACTTTCTAAACTTTTCTCACTGAATCATATTTCTTGAATAATATCTTCTAATTCTAACCTCTCCGATTACTTCTAATACGTTTACTACCTCTACTACTAATGGATTTGATTTGACAATAACATCTCTCTGCTACTGTGGTATGGCAACATGAACTGATGTACTTACGTACGAAGTTCTACATTGCATCTGACTGACTGACTGGCTGACTTAGTTTCTGTATGCTCCTATATATTTCATAATGTTAGAGAAATTTAATTTGGCAATAATAATGCAAATTTAGTCTCAAAAATTGTATGATGAAGTTAGCTGTTGTTTTGGTTGTGGGACTCTCCTCGTTCTTTTCTGAATAACAACTTCTATCAACAGCACAAATTACAAGTTGAAAATTCCACAGTAATTGAAACATCTAACTCAGTGAATGAAATTTCACCGTAATCTTTCTAGCTGACCTATGAATTCGTAACAAAAGGATTTGACATAATTGACATGCATAAATTAACTGATATTAAGAGTAAATATACTACCATTTTTAAATCAGTATGTTAGACTTCACATCCACTCTCTCTCTCTCTCTATTCTCTGAAAATCAGAAAACCATATCGTAAATCGTTAATCTGCGGAAAGCAGCCAACTGCGACACAAGACAAGCCCTCAGTTTACTCATGGTCATAGTGTAGTGAAGGAGAACACAGGTGGGGGCAACCGAATCGTATTTAACGAAAATTACAGAGTTACTCAGTAAAATCGGAAAACCATATCGTAAATCGTTCATTTGCAAAATATCAGTTCATCATCTCGAACTGGACTGTTCCTGTTGCAAAACATCAATCCATTGTCACTATTCATGTGTTTCATACAAATTCCATTGTGTTCTTCTAACTCTTCCTTTCTTGATCTTCCCCCATCTTCTGCTGCCAGACATTAGGTTGACACTCACGTTATATACTACTTATAAGTAGCGCGCACCACACCTCTACCAATGCTATAGGATTTATATTGACAATTCCATTTCTGTGTGTTATTGTGGTGTATGACAATTCAAACTGTTTTGTATGTATGTACATACGAAATTCTCTACATTGTTGCTTGCTGACTGACTGATTGATTGACTGAGAATGAATTGAGTATTTATTATAATGTTAATTATTATTATTTTTTTTGTGTGTGTATTTTAGTGTCAAGGTACACTTGTTCAATTTATCACATTTCTCAGTTTACAATTAACACGTGATGAAATGCAAACTCAATGTTTAACTATTGATAGAATGATGGGTGAATTTCATGTACCAGCTGATACGGCATTTTGTTTTCATCGTAATTTGTTTGAACAAAAAGTTGCTGTAAGTTATGATCACTCTAGTATTATTATTATTATTATTATTATTATTATTGTAATTGTATTTCGTTGTAATATTCTGTATTACTGATGTGGTTACTCGAGTTGGTTATTAGACGAATCTCTCTCTCCCTTTATATATATATATATATATATATATATATATATATATATATATATATATATATATAAAGGGATTGTGAATCAACCAATGTCAAGCCACCATTGGAAACCTGAAAGCACTGAACGCCCGTATCGTCCTTGTATGAAGCTAATCAGCAGTGCGTATCCATAAAACCCACTCGCGGGACTCGAACCCAGTACCTTCGGCCTCGCACGCGAACGCCTAACCTCTAGACCACTGAGCCATCATCCTACCTACCTAAGACTACCTAAATTCGCCAACTTGCGTCACTTATGGCGTTGGTGAGATATCCGTTTGCTAACAAAAGAACGAGTCTACTGCGCAGTAATTCGCTTCGTCCTACTATATGGATACGAAACATGGCCGGTAAAAGTAGAAGAAATTCGTAGGTTATGAGTATTCGATTATAGATGTCTTCGAAGCATAGCCTGTGTATCCTGGGAAAACCGTGTAAACAATGCTATCGTTAGTAAACGAGTGCTAGGTAGAACAATAGATGAAGTAATGAAACTTCATCAGTTTAGGTGACACGGACATGTTTTTAGGTATGCCTAACCACCAACTATCTCGAAGAACGGCGTTTTGTAGTGTAGGAGTAAGTTCGGCAGAAAGCTTGGGAGTGGCCTAACCAAAACACGGTACAAATCCTTAGAGTCACTAACAAGTGGACTAAGTTGTGTTATTAGGTGTAAACTACTAGTGTCCGCAAGACAAAAGTAACTGTTGGTTAGAGACTTTTAATGATATGGCTCAAAATCGTTCGGAATGGTGCAGATGCATTCATTCTTTGTCTTCTCTCATGTCCTCTCTTTAAATTTATTTTACTGGATTATACTTTTCGAATTGTTTCTTCGAATCCTAATCTTCTCCATTACTTCTAATACTTCTACAGCGTCGACCACTTTGTGATTTGAATTGATAATTACACCTCTGTTCTAATGTGGCACTGGCAATTTGAACTGATGTACGTACATGCGTACGAGGTTCTAAGTTGTAACTGACTGACTTGTTTACAAATCTAAATTTTCACTTTAGCTGCATTTAAAATTATTTCATGAATTGATCTGATGCTATTCAACCAGTGAGTAGACAATGAATGTTTTTACACATTTGAAATTATCAATCAATGTGAGGTCGCGCGAAATCCGTAGATCAATCAGAGTTAGACATTAACACCGTTAGATACCGGCTCAGTGGTCTAACCGTTAGGGCGTTCGCGCACAATACCAAAGGTCCCGGGTTCGAATCCTGCGAGGTGCAGGAGTCGTGGATGCGCAGTGCCACTGATGAGTCCCATACCAGGACGAAACGGACGTCTTTCAGTGCTTCCAGGTTTCTAACGGTGGTCTAACAATGATTGATTGATGATTTCAAATGTGTAAAAACAAACCTCCAAAACTGCACGAAAATAATTTCTGTATATGAATTCGAGGTTGTTTTTTTAACTTAACGAACTAATATCCATTGGACAATTATCGAATATCAGGCAGTTTTGAATCGCTGTTTCGTCCATGTCATCTCATTCTTTCCAGTAATACGTACCATTCATTGCAAAGCAAAAACAACCTCTACGTATCAATCTGAGCTCTTAACATTTTTTTTCCATTTAGCTAATATTCATAGAATTTGCCTTTTTCTTTTCTAACTTTAGTTAGTTTTTATACCAATCAATCAATCAGTCAGTTTGTATTTGTATGCCTGTTATCCTCGTTAGTTAATATATATAATAAATACTATGATAATCTATTCCAGTCATATTATCATTGAATAAACAGATAATTATTGTATTTTATTAAAAAAATTATTTTATTTTATTTTATTTTCAGCGTTTATTTGAAAGTAAAGAACAAGCAGAAATTATGAAATCTGGTGAAAAGTCAAAATCATTTAGTAAGGTTAGTTCATCAGTTAGTTAGTTAGTAATCAGTCAGAGTTAGTTACATTAGGACAAATTTTATATAAATCGATCGATCAATCGATCTATCTATCGTTTAAATGTACAAGTGCAAATCTTAATTCTATTTGAATATTACAGATGAACTTTTGGTAATCGTGTTGTATTATAAGATTACTATGCTTGTGTTATTATTTGAGATACAATTGAATATCAGTGAACAAAATGTATATGCTAGCGTTACAATAACAGGAGAAGTTAAGTTAAGTTCCTCGCCGCCCTGCCCTACTAACTAGGAGAAGTCCAGAGTCAGTGTAGAGAATATATAATTCACAAGCAGTGCGGAATGAACAAACCACAAGCTCTAAATCCATACAGTACAGAAAACGTCCTTGAAAGAGTCAAAAAGTAGCGTACTAAGAGAAAAATAATTGAACCAATGACGTTTAAGCTTCGTCCAGGTGGAAAACACAGATCGAAGGTAATACTGGTGTGGTACGAGCTACTTATAAGTAGTATATGACGTGAGTGTCAACGTTATGTCTGGCAGCCGAAGGTGGGGGAAGATCAAGAAAGAAAGAGTTAGAAAACAATAGAATTTGTATGGAACGCATGAATAGTGACAATGGATTGATGGTTTGCAACAGGAACAGTCTAGTTCGATATGATGAACTGATAATTTGCAAATGAACAATTTACGATATGGTTTTCCAATTTTACTGAGTAACTCTGTAATTTTCGAACAGTCTAGTTCGATATGATGAACTGATAATTTGCAAATTAACGATTTACGATATGGTTTTCCAATTTTACTGAGTAACTCTGTAATTTTCGTTAAATACAATCTGGTTGCCCCACCTGTGTTCTCGTTCACTACACTGGGTGCTTCTTGCGCGAAAATAAAGATCATTTGAATTTCCACGAATTTCTGAAATAATTGACTTATAGGAGATCTAGCATCCCCAACATAGATAGCATCTAGTTGAAATTCTCAACCGCTGTTGAATAAACAAACTTTTTATTGAAATTTATATTCATTAAAGTTAACTAGTAGAACGTTTACATACTTTCTGTTGATTAACATCTGTCAATTGTATTAAATATTAGTCCAGAGATTAGATTTGGTAATTAGTTGTTGTGTTCTTTTTAAAGACTACTGATCAATGAAACGTTATCCACTTACTAAGTCTATAGATCGATTAATGTTAGATCATCATTAGAATTCTGGAAGTAATGGACGCCTGTTTCTTCCTATGACTCAGCATGTGAGAACTAAAACACCATAAACCGTGATCAGTGGAGTTCAACCGTGTTGGGTTTCAACGAATATAATAGATAAGGTTGCACAATATTGTAGATTGATTGAAGTTAGTTCATTAAAACCGTCGAGTGCTGGCTCAGTGGTCTTGAAGTTGAGCATCTAGGATACGCATTGCTGATAAGTTCCAAACTAGGATGAAACAGCCGCTTAGTGCTTCCTAGTTTCTAATGGTGGTGTAACAATGATCGACTCATGTTTTCAATGAAACTCAACCATTTCCAAAACCCTATCATAGCTTTATTTTTTTCGGACTTTTTTTTGATATTTGTAGTTTTGGCCTTAATTAATTTTATCAGTAGTATATTCGTAAAATATCACAAATTTTTGCTCCTTGAATCATTTGTACAGAAAGTTATTCAAATACGAACATCTTACTTCAGTATCATCACATCAGTTTACTGAACAATCGGTGTGTTAAATATGCACGAAATGAATATATAGTATTCAGTGAGTGAGGTTACGCAAAATCCCTAGACTTAGGCAGTAACACTGTTGTATATCGGCCCATCGATCCAGAAGTTAGACGTTCGTGCACAAGATCCAAAGTTCTGAGTTGGAATCCTGTCAGTAGCAAGAGTCATGGATGTGCGCTGCTGAACTGTCCCACACCAGGATAAAACGGCCGTCTTTCAGGGCTTCTAGGTTTTTAATGGTGGTCTAACTATGAGTGAATGATCGTCAATATATTTCACAATTTCTTCATTTAGGATTTCTAATATCTCTACTGTACTAGTAGACCCAAACGCGTCATTCACTAGTTTAAACTACCTATGTTGGTTTTACAAAAATTATATTATCGGTTCACCGATTTCGCAGCCCATTTGTTTAGTGAATGAAATAACGCCATGGATCATTTGTGTTTATTAAAATTTGTCTTTTTCATTGGTTCCCTTCACTACTTATTACTATTATGATGATTGACCGGTTGCATTGCATTGCATTGTAGACAATATTCTCCGCTGCCTGTTTACATGTTTGCAATGAAATCGCCACAGCGATACGTCCATTATATCCAGCACGTGTATGGGATGAATTAGGCATTGTATTTTTTATTACATTTTGGAGTTTACAATCAAGTGATTTAGTTGTGCCAGAATCAGCTTATCAACGACAAATACAACAATTGAAAGATCAAATTCAACAAATCGATTCATCGGCTAGTAGTGGATGGGTAAGTGTAATTGCATTGTGTAATTTATGCATAATGTCAATGCTTAGTGGGGTGTTGTTTTCTATCCTGTTCTCTCTCTGTCCCTCTCTCTCGATGATGTGATTCCTAGCTGATGTTGCTGGCGTCTTTTGAATTACTCATCTTCTTAATCGTTTATTTCACTGAATTGTACTTCCTGAATCATATCTTCGAACCCTAGTCTTCTTCATTACCGTTAATACTTCTACTATCTTTACCACTGTGTGATTTAAATTGACAATTTGATCTCTCTGTGTGTTGTAATGTGGTATGGCAACTTCAACTGGTGTACATAAGTACGAAGTTCTACGTTGTAACTGACTCACTGGAAGACGACTGAGAGTAGGCGGAAGCCCTCACTGATTTGTCATCCATGCCTCTTAAGATCAAACTCAACACCGTCAGATATCTCAACAAGCGCAAAATCACTAAACGACTGAGTTAACATTCAATTGTGCACCTTTCCAACTTCACATGAAAAAAAGGCGAAGATCATATCTAATTTCTTGATTCAGGACTTTCAATAATGACATGTTAAAAGATACACCTGTCACAAATTATCGTCAAAACTCCATTTAACTGAATGAACATTTTTGCTATCTGCGATACAGCAAGAAACATTTGAATAAAAAATTGGGTTGGTGAGTTTTTTAATTTTTTTTATTGGGGACGTTTACTGTACCGAAATTTACTGTTCTTCCCCAAAAAAACGGAATATATATGTACTTCTGGGATATCATATACTTTGTTTGAATCAACAAAGGTGTTAGAAAAACTAGTAACTACATTATCATGTTGTTGACTGCATTTAACGCAGTTTCAGCGAGAGGGAATAGATGCTTTGCCATGACGTTAGACTTGTAGAAGTCGTTTGACACTATCTTTCTCTTTTTAAATTAATTTCACTGAATTTTACTTCTTGAATAATATATTCACACTCCAATCTCAATTACCACTAATACTTCTACTATCGCTACCATTATTGGATTTGAACTGACAGTTACGTCTCTGTGCTAATGTGGCATGGCAACATGAACTGATGTACGCACGTACGTACGAAGTTCTATGTTGTGACTGATTGGCTGTGTCGTAGAAGTCCTTTGACTGACAGACAGACAGACAGATACAACGCAGAACTTCGTACATAAGTACATCAGTTCACGTTGCCATACCACATCAGCACGGAGACGCAACTGACAGTTCAAATCTAACAGTGATAGTAATAGTAGAAGTATTAGCAGTAATGGAGAAGATTAGGGAGCGAAGAAATGATTCAAGAAGTATAATTCAGTAAGATAAATTTAGAAGGAGAAAGGTAGAGATTATAAGGAGTTCATAAGGTTAGAATTAGGGAGAACACAAAGAGTGGATGCACCCGCGCCATTGTAAACGATTCTGAGCCATGTCGTTCAACGTCTCTAACCATCGGTTACTATCGTCTCGTGGGCCCCAAACAGGTAGTCGACAACTACCAACATGACTCAGTTCACTTGTCAGTGACTTCATGGATTTGTGCCATGTTTTGGTTTTACCACCTGTAGCTTTCTTCTAACCTATTCCTACCCATTCATGCGTACAAACATTTCATGCTTGTTAGTTGGGTGTATTTATCGAACTACCCTCATAAGTTCCAAATAACGTGAAACGTTGATCGATAATTTCCACTTAATAACTGCCTAAAAACATCATAATCTCTCAAGGAGTCATGATAAAATGTGTCATTCAAAGTTGTACTTGCTAGAATTCCAGAAATAGATAAAGGGAAAAAGAAAATAAATCTCGTTTTTGTAGTCAGTCAGAGTCAGTCAGTCGACAACAATGTTGTTGTACTTCGTAAGTACGTACATCAGTTCAGTGCAAGTTGCCAATACCACATTCTCACACAGAGAGATGCAATTGTCAATTCAAATCCTATAGTAGTAGTGTGGTGCGCGCTACTTATAAGTAGTACATGACGTGAGTGAAAACATAGTGTCTGGCAGCAGAAGATGGGGGAAGATCAAGAAAGTAAAAGAGTGGGAACACAATGGAATTTGTATGAAACGCATGAATAGTGAAATGTCAGACAATGGATTGATGATGGATTGAAGATTTGCAAATTAACAACGGTTACGATATGGTTTTCCTATTTTGCTGAGTAACTCTGTAATTTTCATTAAATACAATTCGGTTGCCCCACCTGTGTTCTCTTTCACTACAGTAGTAGTGGAGGTAGTAGAAGTAATGTCAGAAGATTAGAGTTCGAAGATGTTATTCAAGGATTATAATTCAGTGAAATAAACGTAACAAGAGAAAGATGAAGGTAATGAAGAATTTAGAAAATTAGAATTTCATTTCATATAAACAATTGATGTAAATTTTAGTATCCATTGACATCAATATTCATGTACTTTGTTGGTATATAAAAATATTCTTTCATCTTTTTTTTTTCTCTTCACCTCTAAACTCTCTCTCTCTCTATTCACCGTAAATAATTTTAGAATTCAACGAAAAAAAAACGTGAAATTGAACGTTTAGAAAATTTAATTGAACGTTTAACTAATGAACAAACAGAACGTGAAGAACATGTTACACGTATACGTGCATGGTTAATGACTGAACGTGATAATTGGTTTCAAACTCGTTTAGCTACAAAAACTGATACAATTACACAATTTTTACAATTATGTATTTATCCTAGAGTATGTTTCACTGCTACAGATGCTATTTATTCAGCACAATTTATGCATGTTTTGCATCAATTAAAAACTGCCCGTTTCTCTACATTAATTTGTTTAGATCGAGTAAGTGTGTGTTTGTGTTTATTAAATGATTGCCTTATTTTCCCTAATTTGACTTTGTGTGTGTGTGTGTTTAAGAAAATGGTTGATTCTTGATCAAATGTTGTCCTCCTATTCATTGTTATAATCTTGACGGAGATTGAGAGGATAAAAATCGATCGTCCAGCACCGAACCTAGTGGATTTTAAACTTATGATGTAAATATGAGCTCCCAGTTTCTTGACGGAATGAATGGAAGAGTATGAACTTAGATTATTAATGACCGGCCACTATGAGACTGCGTTTCTGAATGTTGTTCCACTGTCTTGTGGATTAGACTCTTGGGTTAATACTCGGATTGTGATCCTGTAGCAAAACTATTTATCTGGGTGTCCTGGCAGTATACCACCCAGTTCAATAATTTGTATGGTACCTAATTATTCAGGTGCCCCTTTGTACCAATGTGTATGAGTTTTAATAAAATTTACTTTTTTATACATTCAAATCATCAGTCAATCAGTGTTAGACCACTATTAGAAACCTGGAAGCACTGAAAGACGGCTTTTTCGTCTTGGTATGGGACTGATCAGCAGTGCACATTCACCACTACTGAACCCCATAGGATTGAGATTTAGGACCTTTGGTTTTGCGCGCGAACGCCCAACCCCCTGAGCCGGTATCCAACGGTGTTAATGTGTAACTCTGATCAATCTAGGTATTTTGCACGACCTCACTCATTTGTCTTTGGTAGTTACTGTCTAAATCCGTCAGGGTTGAACTACTCCACTGGTCTTATGTCTTCTCACTAGAACTGCGAGAATTTCACTGACGATGCTATAGTCACCAGTGAACACATTTTATGATTTTTTTTTACACTGTATGTATAAAACACTTATCTCCTTAACTCTAATTGAAACAATTTATTTTGATACATATGTTTAAAACCAATTTTACTTCATGAATATATAAACATCTATATTCAAGTGAAATTATCGTAGTTGGCGTCATCCATACATTTCATAAGCGAATGATAGAAAATGTTTGTTATCCTAAGAGAATTATTGTTAGAAAGACATTCTTCATCAAATCAGAACAGAAAATACTGACTGTTTGAAAACGTTCACTGAATAACTACAATTTTGAATAGATGTTAAATTGTTAGTGTTACAATGTTGCATAATCAGTGTTGAGATTTGAGTACTATAGCACACTGTTTACAGTTAGTTTTATTGAAATTATAAACTAATTCATGTCAGACTTCGATTGAACACCTAAAAACAGTGGATAGAAATTTCATCCTAATGTGACACTCCTCAACAATGCACATTGACGACCACAGACGCAGAAGTCGAAACTAGAACTTTCGGTCTTACCTCTTTAGACCATTGAGCCAACATCTAATATTGCCTGCTCATCTACCATTGTTGCATTTTGCATCATTCTTTTAAGTTTCATTGTATGAGTGTGATGATATATGCTTCTCCATTCTCTTTGATATTTTCATTAGATTTTCAATGACATAACACTCCCGACCAGTATGTGTACTGAAGATGAAGCTCATCGTTATGGTCGGTTTTTATGTGCAGTCTTAGAACTTGTGATGCGTTGGCATGCCAGTGAAGAAGTATTCAATCAAGAATGTGGTCAATATCCTGGTTTTGTTACGGTTTTCAGAAAGGTTCGTTTTATATATATACTTTGATTTTTCAATGATTTATTCTTCTGAAGACAATTCACGTGGATGTTAGGAAAACATGTAGCGGTATCCGCTCCATGTAATTCCTAAACTTCGTATATTGATCGTCCTGATAACCATTAACAAAGATACGAAGTGCTGATGACGTTTATTATTGTCAGGACACTAATCACAAAATAATATGAATGCGAAACCGTATGCGAAGGTCGATGAACGTATAAATATGATCTACATATATATGGGAAAATGAATAAGTCACTTAGGTAAGTGTATCTAGGCGACTAACATGAAAACTTGTACGATGAATATGTGCGTGGACTGCAACCAGTGTTCAAGCAAACTCAATAATAATAGTGCAAAGGCATAAACAAGTTGTTGCTTGTTCAAATGACTCTGTTAAGTTAATTAAAGGACTTTCCCATATATAGGTGTGGTGCTATAGTCAGTTTTTATATCATGATCCGATATCACATCTCAACTCTCTATTATTTAATTGTCTCTGACTATAAACATAACACTTATGTTATTAGAGTTTTCACGTTTGTGATGATTGATGACGATTATGACTACGTTTCACAACTGTGAAAAAGCGATAACTGCTTAGTAGATAAATTTACTGACTTAAATCTTGCGTTACAGGGTTGCGCAAATTGTTAAGTTACTCATTGAAATCATGAATCGACCATTGTTATGCCCCCATTAGAAACCTAGAAGCACTGAAAGACGGCTGTTTCGTCCTAGTATGGGTCTCATCAGCAGTGCGCATCCACGACTCCTGCACCTCGCAGGATTCAAACCCAGGAAGTCCGGTCTTGCTCACTAACGCCTAACCTCTAGTCTACTGAGCCGGCATCCAGTGGTGTTAATGTCTAACTTCGGTCGATTCACGGAGTTGCACAACTTCGTACACTGTCTTCGGTAGTTACTGTCTACACCCGAACGAGGTTGAACTCCACTGGTCATGACTCAGAGAGGATTCTTCACCGAGCTAGTCACAAGTGTGCAGAAAGTATATTCTACAAACACCCAGCAAGCACAATCCATTCAAGCACACAAATCTCGTTTATTTTTACATCATAGAAACGTCCCTGGGACAGTCACAAAAATAGTACACCAAAATACACAGCAGCCAATCACAGCCATGGATTTTGGTGGTGGGAATTGAAATCTCAAGGTCAACTGATCAGCCCATGCTGGCAAACGTGAAAACCTAAATAAGGCATTTATCAAGCGAATTTTGGGGATCTAACATCCACAACACGCTCTGCTCAACTTCATTATTTCATCTCTCTTTCTCTTCCATTATATAATATACACTCTGTCTATTTTCTGCGAAATTTCCAATTAAACTAAACAAAAAAAGGGTTTCTTACGTTTGTACATTGTGGGTGTGGGGTGTGTGTGTGTACATGCTGCCTGCATGCCTTCAGTGTATTATTTTATAATAATTTTCAACTTCTGTCTCTCTCTCTCCTCTCAATGATATGACATTGTTTCTACGTGTTTAAAGTCTGTCGCATCATATTTATCCGCATACATAATCTGTTTGTGCAAAATGTGTTTAATGTACACAACTAGTACGTACAATTTGTTAAGTAACAAAAGAATAATTTAAGTTGATTGGTTATCATTCAATGAATCTTCACTAGTCTCTCTTTTATGTACTGTTTCTGTTTCTTTTAGAATTAATAATAATAATAATACACTCCACGGTTGTATTAGTTGAATTATTATTTCAAATAATTTATAAAATCTTTTTTTCATTCCATATAAAATGTCAAATCTTTCTTTTTATTCAAAATAGCGGTCTGTATTGACAAATTTTTGCCAGTCTTTTGTCGTCTCATGTGTGTATATACATATATACATATATAGATCTTAGAAATTTACGTTTAAGTCAACCATGACTATTGTTTGTTGAGTAGCAGTCAAATAATTCTATACGACTACTACTACTACCACTACTTTTATCAAGTTTTCATTGAATTTAAAAATAGTTCTGATTATTCCCATGTTGGTAATTTTTTCGTTTTCATAGCTGAAATTTGATCCATTTTGGTTGACAGTTGACGTATCTAATGCCGAATTGCTTTGATATAAATAAAAATAGTAGAGGATATAAATTTTTACATAGAATAGATTATAGGTTGTGGTAGCTAAAGCAGTGTAATCCAAAATGCATGTTTTGTCCTTATTTAGTTAGGACTCATCAGGTGGATGTACCTATATCTCAGAGTTGATTTTTATTGCGCGAACCGAACCCAGTACCAGTCGCTTTCAAATGTGATCGTGTTATTCACTTAGCTATAGAGTTCAGATAGCTACTTACTGAGTTCGAGTTATGGAGTAAACATCCGCCTTGAACGAATCCTACCTAAATGGGACGAAATGCGCATCCTGGATTACACTGCTTGGCCACCCACCACATTCCATCTATTCTATATAAACTTGTAAATTCAATAGTCAAACAAATATTGATTGAAAATATTTTTTCTCCACAGTTAAATTGTATTCATAATGTATTTATACAATTGTAATCATGAATGACCACCATTAGAAACTTGGAAGCACTGGATGGATGGTCATCTTCATAACACTCTAAATAAAGAATCGTACAATGTGCTCACTGGTAACTAGCATCATGAGCGAATTCTCGTATCCAAATCTGTTTTGATTACATTTATATGATTGAAGTTCTATCAATTAATCTATGTTTGTGTGTGTGTATGTGTACATGTACATGTAAAGGCTGAACATTCATTTCTTTTTTATCCGATAAATGACATTCAATTATTCATATTTCCTTGTTATATCCCCCAAATGTCTGTACGGTCGAAAGTGGCAAGAGTTCACTTCCTATCTTCCTCGAAATGCTGTCTTGTGTTCACGTGTATACAGCCTTTGCCAGAGAAGTTCTGCTTACGGTATTCCTATAGTGGGAGTTTTGTTTACGAATTTGAGAGGACGAAAAACAAGTATCCGGCGCTTCAACCGGATTGGTGGAAATGGAGGACTCACCAAGAGCAGTTGGAAAAATCCAAACTAGTGGTGCACATGAGTCTGTTGGTTTGATAGACATGCAATTCGTCACTGGTAACCATAGAACTGTGACTACTGACGTCACTCTACTGCCTTGTGCAATAGGTCTCTTGGTCAAGGGCTCGGAGGGTGATCCCCTCGGGAAACCACTCGGCTCCGCTTTAAGCACCCGCTTGGTGGTATAATAGGTCCAGTCACAAATTCAATAATTTGTGTTGTGCCCCTTTTATATTACTATATGTTCATGTGTTTACAGCCATTGTCAGAGAACTCCTGCTTACTGGTGGGAGTGTTGTTTACGAATTTGAGAGGACGAAAAACAAGTATTCAGCGCTTTAACCGCATCGATGGAAACCGATGGCTCATTAATCAAACTTGAGAAAATCCATGATTCCAAACTAGTGGTTTGTACACATGAGTCGCAGTATCAAGATGGTCACTAGTTACCATAAGACTAAAACTACTGACGTCGCTACACAATGCTGTGTGGGTAGTGACCCCTTCGGAAAAGCACTCAGTTCAGGTTCGAGCCCCCCAATTGGTGGTATAATAGGTCCAGTCACAAATTCAATAATTTGTGTTGTGCCCCTTTTACATTACCATAAGATCTATTTCGATTTTTCTCGCTTTTCTTTTTCCTGTACAGACATATCAAGGTTTGGATGCAAACACTAAACCGGATCAATTACAATATGAAAATTATCGTCATGTTGTGCATAAATGGCATTATCGTATTACAAAAGCAATTGTTGCTTGTTTAGAATCGGGTAATTATATACAAATACGTAATGCTCTAATTGTACTAACACGTATTCTACCACAATATCCAAAAATTACACAATTCGGCAGTGCTGTTGAACGACGTGTGAATAAATTGAAAGAAGAAGAGAAAGATCGACGACCCGATTTAAAAGTGCGTTTTTCATTGTGTATTATTGTTGTTGTTTGACCTTTTGTTGTTTCATTTTATGTGCATAAACTCTAAACTGTATTTAGACTTGACATGATAGCTGTAATCAACAGATTAAAGATGTTTCTTAATACTATGCATAGACAATAGATGCGGTAGTGAAACTTCATCAGTTGATGTGGTTGGGAGATGTGTTGCGATACGAATGCCCAACCACCAACTGCCTCGACGAGCGATGCTTTGTGGTGTAGGAGGGGTAAGTCGGAAGCAGCGGCCAAGCCAAAACATGGCACAAATCCATGAAGTCACCAACAAGTGGACTTAGCCATGTCGGTAATTGTCGACTACCTGTTTTGGGTCCGCGAGATGATAATAATCGATGGTTAGAGACCCTGAATGACATGGCTCAAAACCGTTTGCAATGGCGCCAGTGCATTTATTCTTTGTGTTCTCTCAAATCCTAATCTTCTGGTTTCTTCAACCCCTCTACTTTTGTCTTCCTAAATTTATCTCACTGAATCATACTTCTTGAATAATATCTTCTAATCCTAACCTCTCCGATTACTTTTAATACATTTACTACCTCTACTACTATTGGATTTGAATTGACAATGACATCTCTGTGCTAATGTGGTATGGGAACATGAACTGATGTGCGTTCATACGAAGTTCTACGTTGCTATTGATTGACTGATTGACTTGACAGTGAATTCCTCATAATCTCTATCTTTCTCCTTCTAAATTTATCTCACTGAATTATACTTCTTGAACAATATCTTGGAGCCTTAATCTTCTCTATTACCAGTAATACTTCTACAATCTTTGCCACTGGGGGATTTGAATTGACAATTGCATATGTCTGTGCTAATGTAATGCGAAGTTTTATTTTGTAACTGACTGACTTACAATCAATCAGTCACAATGATAGGAGAATGCACTTTATTTTTTCACATTTTTGTTCCCTAACGTCCCTTGATATCAGTTTTTGTGTTGCTTGTGATTTCTTCCCCTCGAACTTTATTATTATTCTCTATAATCAGTCTCTTCTTTTTTATCGCTATTATTATTATTTTAACTGATTTAATTTTTCCTTTGTTTATTTTATCTCGTCTTGTTGATCTTGTTTGATGATTCGTGTCGAAATATTATTGTTACAGAGCATACATTAACTGTGCCTGAGTGATTGTCATACATCCAATTGATTTAAAGCGAGATTGTCTAACATTCAGCTTTCGGTTTCAGCAACTACTGCTTAATCAATCAACCAATCAATAGTAACATAGAACTTCGTACGTGCGAACGTACATCAGTTCATGTTGCCATACCACCACATTAACACAGAGATGTAATTGTTAATTCAAATCCAATAGTAATAGACGTAATAAAGGTATTAGCAGTAGCCGAAGAGGTTAGGATTAGAAGATATTATTCAAAAAGTAGAATGTAATCAAATAAATTTGAAAAGTTTAAGGATTTGAGAGAACACAAAGAATAAATGCACCTGCACCATTGCAAACGATTTTGAGCCATGTCGTTCAGAGTCTCTAACCATCGATTACTAACATCTCGCGGACCCCAACCAGGTAGGGTACATCTGCTAACATGACTAAGTCCACTTGTCAGTGACTTCATGGATTTGTGCCATGTTTTGGTTTGGCCGCTCCTAGCTTTCTTCCAACCTACTCCTACACCACGAAACAAAGCTCGTCGAGGCAGTCGTTAGTTAGGCATACGTAACACATGTCCCAACCACCTCAACTGATGAAGTTTCAATATTTCGTCTATTCATTTGCTATCCTTACCTAGCACCCGATTCCTAATAACAGCGTTGCTCACTCGGTTGTCCCAGGATAAACGAGCGATGCCTCGAAGACACCTATGATCGAAAACCAGTAACCTACGAATATCTTCTACTCTCACTGGCCATGTTTCACAGCCATACAGTAGGATGGAGTGAACTACTGAGCAGTACACTCGTTCTTTAGTCAGCAAATGGATATCTCGCCTGCGCCATAAGCGACGTAGGTTAGCAAAAGCTAGTCGAGCTTTCTGTATCCGTGCTGAGATTTCATCAGTCATCAGGCCATTAGCACTGATGATGTAAGTAAATTTTAAAATGTATTGTAGCACGTTGTTATACAATCTTTGAAGAAACAAAATATGAGTGTACTCGGGATTCATGCATTAAACATCTTACCGAGTGTGTAAATGACCGAAAAAATTTTGCATTTGGTGACTAGAAAAGTAGTACCAAAATCGCAGCGAGAATTTACCACGAGAATTTTTTGTTTAAATAGTCACAAACAATGTTAAAGTCACAAGGTTAAATTGGAGTTTATCATAATAGTAGCATAATCATTTTCTTCTCAGACTTCTTTATTGTTACCAAACATTGTAGTATTGATTTACATAGATGAGATGGAATATGGCTAGCAATGTAATCCGATACGCACATTTCACCCTGATTTAGAATTCATTAGCTGAATGTACCTGTATCTCAGAGTTGACATTCACTCCATAACTCGAACCGAGTACCATTTGACTAACAAAACGAATGCCTCATATAGTGATGATCATATTCTAACTGATTCTTGATCGTTCTCGATATGTGTTTAAAACTATTCGATAGAAATTGAATCATTAACAGAAATCAAACTCTGTTTTTATAAGCTTAGAGATGATTTCAAGACTCTAGAAACTTCTAGGAATAGGTGTTGAAATAAATTCGTTATTCAGTCTATCATACTAGAGAAGCAAATAGTGAATTAGTCTTCAGGTGTTATGATAAATGATGTCTGTGATGATCTGAACGTAATACATGCTAACTGCTCAAACTGGCTATTTAAGCAAAAACGCAAGGATGGAAGAAAAAGTTTACTTCGCTATCGAACGATGTGCTTAAATAGTTATATACATATATATGCTTCTCTTTCCTCAGAAAATGAATCCATTTCTTGACCAATGTGATATGCTTCTACTCTTTGTGATATACTTGAACTATTACGAGTTTACGAGAGCGAGGATCCGGTGACACGACATGTTACTCAAAGCCGATTATTACAACCCCCATATTTAGTTAAAATAAGAAGACATGATATGAAGTAGAACGTGTATTTTACAAGCATCCAGAAAACACGAGGTCCGAATCCAGAAGAGAATCAGGATCCCGGACTAGGGATCCGGGACCGAGCCCTAGTACTAGTCGTGGTCAATAAACGTTACAGATAATGCGTATTTATACATTTTGGTCGAATAAGAAATAGCATCGAATTCTGTGGCATTGACAGTTACGACGACCAATAGGAAGTAACATTTGAAGTGACATTGACGGTCCGGATGACCAATAAGAAACAACATTGAAGTATCTGACTTTGACAGTTATAACGACCATAATTTTGACCAATAGGATTTGACCAATAATTCTCTTAGGATATTGGATGAATATCCTAACACTTTGTGACGTTGCTGACTCTTATCAAACGACCTTACCGTTCACTTACTTCCGGATTGATCCCCTCTATATTACCGGGATTCTAACAGCATAATCCGAAAAAATTAATGTTTTCTAACACATTCAACTAGGCGTGCATTGTGATTTCTTTTTTCTTCTCTTTTTTTTATAAAAATAGGCTTTAGCATTCAGTTATGCTGGTCTAATGCGTCCACGTAAAGCTAAATGGGTTAGTGAAGAAGAATTTCATTTAAAAGAAACTAAACCAATTCGTTCAGAGACCAGTGCAAATTATTCAAGTAATCATCAACAAAGCATGAATAGTGTTAGTGGTGGTAACACAAGTGGTAACACTACTACTACTACTACACGTACTATATCAAATACTGATTATAATTCTGTCAATATGACCACCAATAATTCATCTACTGGTTATAGTCATAATTCACGTGGACATACGAGTAGTAGTGCAAATCAATTGACTGCTTTGTCAAATTCATCTACAAATGTAAATAGTACTACTACGACTGGTAGTGGTGGTATTGTTAATTCCAATAGTACTACTAATACTACTAATACTAGCGGCGGCAGTAGTAATGGTGGAGCTAACAACCCTGCATCTATTACTAACACTAATAGTAGTAGTAGTAGTAGTAATAATGTATCTGGTAGTTCTGTGACACATGAACCATCACATATGTCCGTATCTGTTCGACGTACATCAACGACTACTTCAATACAACAACAACAACAACAGCAGCAACCGATATCAAGTCAAACTGGTAAAATCTCATCCAATTCAACTGTCACATCAAGCGGTAATTCATGATAAGATTTTGTTTTTTTCTGTTTGTTTTATCGCATACATACCATGTTTGTGTTATATAAATGTTTATTGACTTAACCAGTTCTATAAACAAAACATGCATAAATAAATGTATGTACTCTATAGAGTAATTAGTTATCCTAATTACAATGATATACATCCATTGTCTTATATATAGACACATAGAGAGATGCATCTATATATGTATATGTATATTATCTTTATTATTGTTACAACTTTGTTTCTTTTCACATTTTTGCGTATACCGACTAACTAACTAACTAACTAACTGCATTATGTTAGTTTTGGCATGATTCTTGTGTGTTTTTTTTTTGAATGCCGAACAATAACTGATCCCCTCGGAATAAAAATGAAGGTAGTGAGGAAAAGAGATTGTTTTTGAAGAGAAAAATACAAGATGTATTTATTACCTGCAAACATGATATTCTGGATGCCGGCCCAGTGGTCCGATGGTAAGGCGTTCGCCTACAATGCCAAAGGTCCCGGGTTCGAATCCTGCGAGGAGCAGGAGTCGTGGATGCGCACTGCTGATGAGTCCCATACCACGACGAAACGGCCGTCCAGTGCTTCCAGGTTTCTAATGGTTGTCTAACAATGATTGATTGATGATTTCAAATGTGTAAAAACATAATATTTGCGGAGATTTCAGTGTAACAAAAGTACGCCTGTTACTCCTTATGGAGCATAGGCCGCCGATCAGTATTCTCTAACCTACTCTGTCATGGGCGTTCCTTTACAGGTCTGTCCAATTTTTTGTTCATTCTTCTCATGTCTGTATCCATTTGTCGGCATAATGTGTTCACTGGCCTTCTTCTTTTCCTTTTACCTTGAGGGGTTCCAGATGACGACTTCTCATGTGACACAGTTAGATGCTTTCCGTGATGTGTGTCCTATCCACTTCAAACGATTCTTCCTGATTTCCTCCTCCACTTGAATCTGGTTTGTTCTCTTCCACAGTAGGTTGTTGCTGATTGTGTCTGGCCGACAGATTCGATGTATTTTGCGCGGACAACTGTTAATAAATACTTATCTCTTCTGGATGATGGCCTTCGTGGTTCTCTAAGTTTCTGCTGCATACAGTAGAACTGTCTTGACATTTGTATTGAAAATTGTTCGGAGTTCCAGATGTTCTTAAATTATAAAAATGCTGCCTTTTGCTTTCCCCAATGAAAGTTCGTCTAGGAGAAAATATCAAAAATCATCAAATAGCTGTTTAAATTTATCGTGGAACTTTCACTTCATCTTCAAGAAATGACACCCCTCGGAATAAAAACGGAGGGAGTGAGAAAAAGAGATTGTTTTTGAAGAGAAAAATACAAGATGTATTTATTACCTGCTAACATAATATTTGACTTGAAGGTTTACGGAGATTTCCAGGTAACAAAAGTACGCCTGTTACTCCTTATGGAGCATAGGCCGCTGACTAGTATTGATTCTCCAACCTACTCTTTCATAAGCGTTCCTTTGCAGTTCTGTCCAATATTCGTTCATTCTTCTCGGCGTAATTTGTTCTTTGGCCTTGAGGATTGCATGTGAGGGCTTATCTTGTGATGTAGTTGGGTGCTTTTCGCAATGTGTGTCCTATTCACCAGCTCCAATGCTTCTTCCTGACTTCTTCCTCCAATGGAATTTGGATTGTTCTTTCCTACAGTAGGTTGTTGCTGATGGTTTCTAGCCAACGAATCCCCAGGATTTTGCGTAGATATCTGTGAATAAATATTCGTATTTTGTGAGGATGATGGCTTTGGTAGTTCTCCAAGTTTCCGCCCTATAAAGTTAATTTGTGTTAAAAATCCTGGCTTTGGTGTTGGTTGATAGTTGTTTGGAGTTGCAGATGTTGTTGAATTGTAAAAATGCAGCCCCTTGCTTTCCTGATGAAAGTTTATGTTTCTTAATTAATATCAGCCAAGGAGAAAATATCAAAACTCATCAAATAGCTGTTTAAATTTATCCTGGAACTTTCACTTCATCGACAAGAAATGACACCAGTATTAATCTCATGCTCATTATTGACTGGTTTCGAGATGAATTCCTAACATTTCTAGTATGAACTTTCCACTAGTGGAATTCCAATCTTGTGAGGGGTGATATGGGTTGTTGCTTGGCAAAAACTTGATTGAAAATAAATATATGCCTCATGAAACTTCTACTTAGTGGTCTACACATGCATTTCACACTTTAGAAATCGATTGTGCCAAAGTCGATCATTTTCTAAATCATGATTGCATACTTCAGATGTGTCATACATTGACCTGAAACAGTTGACTATATTGATCCTTAGTTTTTTAATGATTTCCCAATTGTTATAAGTCCATGACATAGCTAACTTTTTCACAAAAATCAATGTGTTCGTATTGTTTTGAGGTGAACAATCATTATCAATGTTGTGTAGATTTATGATCTGACTATCATTTACTATTTCGTTTTGATTTGGTTTTTTTATTTTTTTTGCATATAGTTCTTGAAACACGATCACGACCTCAAACAGTTGTAGAATCTTCAAAATGTAATCCTTCTGGTCAGCTGTCAGGATCTGTGTCACAATCTACGGGAACAATTGTAAGCAATTGTGCTGGTTCAAATAATATGAGCAATAGTTCACCTTCCCTTCCAGTAGTAGCAGCTGGTCAAAGTAAATTAAAATCTAGTCAGTAAGTGAACTCATTAACTAATTTTGTGCTGTATTCAGACAAATTTATTTTCATTTGAAGCATTGGAATTGGTAGAAGTTGACATGAAAATATTTATACACTACATAATAAAAATGAAGTTGTGAAGTAGTTGAGAAAAAATGGTAAGTTTAACAAACAAAATGACAAGAAATCAGTATGTGTGTGTGAAATCACTGTAATAATAGTAACAGAAACAATTCATTTAAGTACAATACTTTAGAGTTTTGTGGAGATCGTAGTTTTACTTTGAAATGATGAATGAATTATTGCTGGACCACCGTTAGAAACCTGGAAGTCCCAGTATGGGACTCATCAACAACAGTGACCATGCATGACGTGACTAGTATAGTTCAACCCTGTCGGGTGTATGCATTAACTACCGAAATCCTTAGATTGATCAGAGTTAGACATTAACACCGTTCAATGCTGGCTCAATTGTCTAGAGTTTGGGCATTCGCTCGCAAGACCGAAGATCCTGGGTTTGATCCATGCGCATTGCTAATAAGTCACATACTAGTAAGAATCAGCCGTCCAGTGCTTCCGGATTTCTAATGGTAGTCTAACAATGATCGATTCATGATTTCAAGGTAAGGAAAATGCAATCTGAATGAATCCCTTTTGGTTAAAATTCCTTCTTCTTATATGGATTAAAAAGAAATATACAGCAGGACCACCATCGGTTTCTGTTCTGGGCCGTGTTTGATAACGTTTCAAGCCACTAAGTTGTACCATCTCTAGCACTCCAACCAAGCAGTTGTGAAGATCTAACAGATATCAATCCTGTATAGCTTTCTTTCATAACACAACATCACCATCGGCTTTGAAGATTCCAAGTTAGGACATGCTTCCTGTCGCAGTTTGATGATCTCCGTAGTATGTGTCCCCTATTCACCTCTAGCATTTTTTTCCTCTGCTGGAAATCTGGTTTATTTTCTGCTACAGTGTAGGATGTTACTGGATAAAGGGTATAGGTTTTAGAAATGTGCTTAGCAAACCTACTCCGTAGAAAACAACACAAAAAAGGTAACGCTAATCAGATACCATCAACAACGATGGTGGATATATATATATATATATATATATATATATATATATATATATGCAAGATGTTCTCATTTCTCTAGCATATAATATTGAATTTTATGTAAATCTGAAGTTAAGTAAAAATGCTTTTTTTTCTTCAATCGTGACATTTTTAATTAAACTCATAATTCATTGGTGTTAGTCAGGGTTCATTGAACATTTGGCAATCTAATCAAGCAAGATTTAATAATATTTGACCTGGTGATTGTATTTATTGCTATTATTTTGATTATTATTATTATTGTGAATTTTGACATTTATTTATCTTTTTTTGTGATCATCAAATGCTTAGGTCAAAATATTTATTCACCCACATTGTTGTTGATTAATCAGAAAGATCTACTAATCTGTATGTGGTGTTAGTCTTTTCAAATTGCCTACAACAATAAGAAAGCTAGGTGGTGGCCAAACCAAAACATGGCACAAATTCATGAAGTCGTCACTGACAAGTGGACTAAGTCATGTTGTTAGATGTAGGCCACCTGGTTAGGGTCCGCGAGACGAAAGTTACCAATGGTTAGAAACCTTGAATGACATGGCATGAAATCGTTTGTATATTGGTCCAGGTGCATCTATCCTTTATGTGATCTCATGACCTCATGAGCTCAGGACTTTTTCTTAACTTCTTTTAAATTTATTTCACTAGATTCTACTTCTTAAATAATATCTTCGAACCCTAATCTTCTCCATAACCTCTAATACTTCTACTTTCTCCACCACTATGAGATTTGAATTGACAGTGGTATCTCTGTGCTAATACGGTATGGAAGCCTGAACTGATGTATGTACCTGTGAAGTTCTACGTTGTAAGTGACTGACTGACCAACAACAACAATCACAACACAAAATGTAGATTATATTAGCATGAATTGAATTAGTCTTGAAAAAAAAACTTTGTAGAAAACGCATCAGATGAGGGTTGTGTTTTGTCCTGATTTTCAACACTTCAACATTTTTAATGTATATCTGTCTACCACCAACCTCCTCCCCGCACAACCTCAGGATGACAGGTCAGTAGATGAAGTGATGAAACTTCATCAGTTGAGGTGGTTGGGACATGTGTTACGTATGCCTAACCACCATCGACTGCCTCGACGAGCTATGTTTTATGGTGTAAGAGTAGGTTGGAAGAAAGCTAGGGTCGACCAGACCAAAACATGACAGAAATCCATGAAGTCAGTGACAATTGGACTGAGTCATGTCGGTAGGTGTCGACTACCTGGTTGGGGGTCCGCGAGATGTCAGTAATCGATGGTTAGAGACCCTGAATGACATGGCTCAAAACCGTTTGCAATGGCGACGGTGCATTTATTCTTTGTGTTCTCTCAAATCCTAATCTTCTGGATTCTTCAACACTTCTACTACCTCTACTACTACTACTACTACAGGATTTGAATTGACAATTACATCTCTGTGTTGATGTTGTGGTATGACAACTTTCAATGAACTGATGTACTTACTTATGTAAGAAGTTCTACGTTGCTGTTAATTGATTGGTTGATTGATTGATTGATTGAGGCTTCTTTTCAAGATTTTTTTTTCACAAAATTTTTCATTCCATTTGTTTTCTTTTAACAGACGTCTTGAGTCATCATTACCTCCACCTTCAGATGATGATGTTGGTGCTACCGCTGTGACTGTATCATCAGGACCACAATCACATTGTAAGTTATTGATTGCTGTTGTTGTTGTCACTATCTCTGGATATCACGTTTTTATGCTTGTGAATTCTTTTTTTTTTATCTTGCAATAATGCAAAATGAGATAGAATACGATTACTGCAATTGTCTTATGTTTTTCCTCCCCTATTTTCACATTTTTGTCAATATCACTCTTTATCATTATTGTTGTGTGTAATTTTGTCTTCAAAGTGTACGTAACTCATATCATGTTACACATTGAAATTGTGATATTTTAATTCACTGTTAGACCATCACCATTAGAAACCTGGAAGCACTGAAACACGGCCGTTTCGTCCTAGTATGGGACTCATCAGCAGTGGCCTGGAGGTCAGGTGTTCACGTGCAAGACCGAAGATACTGGATACTAGCGAGAGTCATGGATGGGCAGTACTGTTGAGTCTCATACTAGGACGCAACGACCGTCTCTCAGTGCTTCCAGTTTTCTAATGATAGTGGTCTCAAAATGATTCATTCATGATTTCAATGTGTAAATACTATTGACTCCATTACTCTAAATGAAAATTCATATCTTATTGCATCTTTACAAGCTTTAATGATGAACTGTCACGAAATGTTACTGTGTTAATAATGTGATACGCATCTATTATACAGTGAAACAACTCAAAGCATAGTCAATATATTTCTTACACATTTGAAATCATCAATCAATCATTGTTAGACCACCATTAGAAACCTGGAAGCACTGGACGGCCGTTTCGTCCTGGTATGGGACTCATCATCTGCTTTTAACTCCTACCCCAATCTAATCGTATTATAACAGTTGAATGACAATTGAATTATGCCTTAATCTTAAGACACAGAGTCAAAAATCTGTAATCACTTTGTGCGTACCTAGAAAAAAGAGACAAATTAATTTTTTTTTTCTTGATTACTACATTTCGTGTTATCATCTAATTGTTTTCTTTGTGTTTTGAATTCTTCATTAACACAGCATCAAAACGACGTAGAATGGAAGCGGCCAGTGGAAATATGTCTAGTTCCAATGGTTGTATTTTAACTATGACAACATCAAAGGTGAGTGAGTAGTTGATGAAATTCACAGTCTCTCACTCTCTGTCTGTCACTTTGTTTAATTTTATGAAATATGCAAACTATGATTCATGAAATTATTGCTTTATTTTGTATTCAAAATTCAGATTGCTTTAAATTAATTGAATATTATTGAACAGTTTAATTGTAAATCTATGATATTATTGATATACTATCCGTCAATCTATCTGTTGAGGACGTTAAACCATAGAACTTACTTGGAAAAGTTCGTAATTTCGGATTTTTTGTGTTTTCGCGCATGGTCAGTCAATCAGTCACTCAAATGCAACGTAGAACTTCGTACGTACGTACATCAGTTTATATTGCACAGAGATATAATTGTCAATTCAAACTCAATAGTAATAGAGGTAGTAAATGTATTAAAAGTAATCGAAGAGTTTAGGATTAGAAGATATTATTCGAGAAGTATGATTCAGTGAGATAAGTTTAGAAAGACAAAACTAGAGATATTAACGAATCCAGAAGATTAGGATTTGAGAGAACACAAAGAATAAATGCACCGGCGCCATTGCTAATTGTTTTAAGCCATGTCATTCAGGGTCTCTAACCATGCATTATTATCATCTCGCGGACCCCAACCAGGTAGTCGACAATTACCGACATGGCTCAGTCCACTTGTCAATGACTTCATGGACTTGTGCCATGTTTTGGTCTGGCTGCCCCTAACTTTCTTCCAACCTACTCCTATACTGCAAAACATAGCTCGTCTAGGCAGTCTGTGGTTAGGCATATGCAACACATGTGCCAACCACCTCAATTGATGAAGTTTCACCACTTCATCTATTGACCTACCATTCTTACCTAGCACCAGTTTCCTAATAACAGCATCGCTTGCTCGGTTGTCCGAGGATATACGAGTAGTGCTTCCGATACACCTATGATCGAAGATAAGCAAACTGCGAATATCTTCTACTCTCATTGGCCATGTTTCACAGCCATAAAAGTTTTTCGCGCTTGGGCTGTTCAGTTGACCTTGAGATGACATTCCCTACTCGGAAAATCCTTGACTGTTATTGGTTGATTGATGTATTCTTTTAGTACGTTATGTTTGTGGCTCTCCCAAGGATGTTTCTATCATGTATCTATCCATTTATCCACACGTCTATCTATCTATCTATCTATCGACATGATTACATCACATATAAGACTATTAGATAAATGAAATACAACCTATATATTTCAAGTTTTTTTTCTTTTAAACAAAGAAATCACAACTTATCTAATTCACTACTTCAATAACAGCTTCACAATTGACCGATCGATAGATAGATAGATGGAGATAGATCAGGTTTAAAAATGAAACTTCATCACCACTTTATTATGCAATGATATCAATTAAAAAGTAATTAATTCATCATCAGCATTCCTCGTTTACATGGATTAACAGATAAGATAAAAAGCAATTGTGGTATAAGTTTATTTTAAGAAGAAGAAAACAAAACTGAACAGTGAATAGAAAAAAAGGCATAGTACCACACACACACACTCTCTCAATCGTGGTTCACACTGTTCACTGCCACATTCACTTCTGATGTATTTTGCATTAAAATTAAATTATCAAGTTCAACAATCAATCATTTATGATTAGGTGTGTAATATTATTTATATGAGAGATAATATATATATATATATATATATATATATATATATATACAAATTTGATGAAATTCAAAGAGTTAAAAACGGGAGTAATTGAAACAATTTTTTTTGTCAATGTCGAATAAATAAACTTGTGTGGTTTTTGTTTTATTTTTTGATAAAGAGATAGAAAAAATGTTGGGGGGGGGTTGGGGAGAAAAAAAAGAATCTAATTTACATAATATTCAAATAACTATTTTTTGCTAAATAATGATGATGTTAATAACATGTATTGACATAGTAGAATAGGATAGAATTTGGTGGTGGAAGCCAAGAATGCGTGTTTCCCCACCCCTACTTTTAGTACTCGTCTTTAGCTGAGTGTACGTGTATCTCAGAGTATGCAGATTGTTGAGTTTCATTGATATTATGAACCGATCAATGCTGGACTGTCATCATCATCATCGGAAACTTGGATGTTCTGGATAGCTGTTTCGCCCCAGTATCAGTGTCATACTGATCAAGTCAATATGTAAAAATACTCGTCTATATATGTATATCCCACTTTTATGCTCGTTACTTGATATGCTTGAAACTATTACGAGTTCACCTTAGTCGATAAACGTCAATGAGACAATGAACCAGTGACACGGTAGGCTACTCTGATCCATTGTTCCAAACTAACTGACGGAAAAGTCTTGATATAGCGTAGAATGTGTATTCTACAAACACCCCAACAAACAGAATTCATTCAATCACACAAATCGTGTTTATTTATACATCATAGAAACGTCCTTGGGAGAGTCACAAATATAGCACACTAAAATAACACATCAACCAATGACAGCCAAGAATTTTCCGAGTGGGAAATGTGATCTCAAAGTCAATTGATCAGCCCATGAATAAAATCCAAAATGAAGGCCTTTATCAAATGAGTTCTGGGGATCTAACGTTCCCAACACCACACACCCCTTATAAAATGAATCCATTTCTTTACTGATGATATACATCCTTACTTTAGGACATTTCTGACAATCATCAAATAACCTTCTCATTTGGTCACTTCTGATTGGCTCACTAAATCTCTTATTATCTCAAACTAGTTTAGGTGTTGAGCATTAACAGAAAAACTGGAATCGTTTAGCTTTCTTTAATCTACTGTACTTTTTTTTTCTATTCAATCCTTCTTTAGAATTACTTATATTTTTATCTTTCGTGATTTGGTTCAATTATTTCATATTAGTTATGTAATTAAAACCGAAAAAATTCAATTCATTATGATGATGATGATGATAAGAATGGTATTCTTTTAGTGTAGTAGTTCTTGTCTACTGATATTATGATGTTTGTTTTGCCAATATTTGTTCTCATTTTGTTGTATTTTCTTGATTTGAATTTGTAAGATTAATTGACAACAATTGTAAAGACTATATGTATGTGTATGTATAAGGAAGCACTGCACGGCCGCTTCATCCTGGTGTGACACTCATCAACGACACACATCTATGACTCTCAGGATTAGAATCCAGGACCGGCTTTGCGCGCGAACGCTGAGCTGGCATCCAACGGTTTTCATGTCTAATTTCGATCAATCCACAGTCTTGCGCAATCTCATCCATTGGATATCGGCTCAGTGGTCCATAGATTAGGCGTTTGTTCGCAAAAGCTGCGAGTCGTGGATGTTGACTGCTGATGAGTGTCATATTACGACGAAACGGTCGTCCAATCAGTGCTTCCAGGTTTCTAATGATACTCTAACATTTGATCGATTATATAATTTCAAAGTAACCATCCTTTTTTAAAGAAAAATAAGTTACATTCTATTGATTAACAATAACAATTTGACATATTTCACTATCTTTCACAATATGATGATCCGTCTAGTATTACAATACAAGAAAAAGTTGCATTTTCAGACTCATTCAATCATTTTCACAAAATTATTATGTGTTACAATTATTTTTATTGTTTTTTGCTAATTTTTTTTCCTCTTGTATCTCCTCATCAACTGGTTCCATCGTGCCTCTCTCTCTCTCTGTCTGTGTATAGTCTTCCACTCTCCCCGCTCCCCACCTCCTGGCCTGACACTCCTCCTTTGTATGTCTGTGTTTGTTGATTCTCACCACATCCATTTGATTAATCCGTTGTTACATAATTTTTTTGTTTGTTTGTTTGAAAAATGTGTGTGTGTGTGCGTGTACGTGTGTATAGGTCGGTTGTCTAGTAAAAAATCAGTCAATCTTTGTCTTAGTGTTTGTTATTTTTCGTTTTAAAACCAAACTGACTTCCGTTTTTTATGCTTTGCTTTGTTTCAGAATGATCGTTTGCTTAGTGTTTTTTTTTGTAGAATAGGAGAGGCTTAGAGTGAATCAATTTTTAACAGAGATGATTGTAAGTTATAGTAAGAAACACACTCTCACACACGCACACACACAGACACACACAATCACTGGATATGTGAGTAGTTAAGGCTGAAATAAGTTGATTTTTTTAGTAGTACTTCTAGTACTACTACTAGTACTTCTTCCTTGATATATGATGTCACTGCGATGGTTTACTTTGACTGATTGTTTGTTTTTTGCACGATATTTGTCTCAACTATTTAGCATTGAATAATCTGAATAGTCTAATGGGGTGACAAATATATGTACGTATGTCCATATCACCAGATCCTAGTGGAGGGAGAAGTTAGGAAGAAGCGTTGAAGCTGGTTGATAGAACTCACATTGAGGAAAGCACTCAACTGAGTTTCATGAATATCCGTCACCTGGAATCCTCAGGGCCAACGGAAAAGAGTAAGGCTAAGGAACATATTACACCGACAAATAGACACAGATATTATAAAAATGAACAATTATTGAACAGAAATGGTAAAATAGGCCCAGGACAGAGTAGGTTGGAGAATACTGGTCAGTGGCCTATGCTCCATTTGGGTGGTGACAGGCGCGCGCACACACACACATCCACATATCACAGAACACTGGGGTGAGGAGATCAAGTGGATAAATATCTCTGTCTACTCTTAGTTTATCTAACTACCCACACTTGGTGTTTCGATACGCATAGAAATTGTTATTCACTCTTCGAAAACTTTCCGCAATTATTTCTATGAAATTAATTAGTCATCCTTTTCCTATCAAAATTGAAAGATTCATTAGAATAAGTAAGTGTTTAGGACTTTTTTGGTATTTCGATGAAAATTCAACACATCCACCGTCTCAACTAAGCGTAAACCTGTAACTTTCAGATATTATAATGAATGGGGAAATTGTAAATCATTCAATTAGTAGGCAATTTTCTGTGTAGAATTTGAAATTTAATAATCTTGTGTAAATAAAATACAAACGATGAATTTTCAATTGTTCAATTGTTCAGTTCACAGTACG